ACTGGGACAGGGTGAGAGCCCTGAGGGAAGGAGGGATCTTGTGGGGATGGTGGGGAGAGGAGTCCTGGGGGAAAGAAGAATCTTGAGGAGATAGGGGTGGGGGAGTCCTGGAGAAGGGAGAAATCCTGCAGCCCGTACCTGGTAGGGCCAGGAAGGGAATGGGGGGGGGGGGGTTTGCAGCGGGAGGGCCCCACCTGAATGTATGCACATCAAGTGGCACTGGAGCGGACTTCTCCGTATCTGCATGTAGCAGCCCAGGAAGAGCCAACGGGCCGGAGTTGGGAGCCAGGCTGAGCCCCAGGGGACAGGAGCTGCCATTGTGTGGTGAGTGCAGGGTAGTCTCGCCCTTCCACTCCCAAAAAAATATTTTCAGCAGCCACCTATAGTATAGAATGGTGTTGCAAGAATACTGGAAGGTCTAGAAGGAAACATCAAATCTAAAATAACCACTTCTAAAAAGGTTTGTTCTCACTCCTTTCACGTATCATGGCACTGTCTGAACACTCAGGTCAAAGTTCAAATAATTTCTTCCTTCGTTGGCTCACGCCATAGAGAAATCCATTTGTTTTGTGGCATTATTCAGTCCTTCTGAGGATGAAGACTGTTTACTTTAATCTATTTGTAAGGCCCTCATCATTAGTATATGAGCACCTCCCAAGTATTTAAAAATATAAATAATGTGTAATATCCCTTTCCAGCCTACAGGAGAAATAACTTGCTTTTAGTTTATATTTGTGTGTGTGTGAGAGGTAGTGGGTGTGGGGAGTGTAACTTACTGAAGATAAACTATATTGAGGAGAGATCAGTTTTGCATTTAGGGCCGGTTCCAGAGCCTATTTAAAATTGGGCCCCTTTAACATGTCTTAAATTAGGCACCCAAAAATGGAGGTTCTCAAAATCACTTGTCACTCCAGAAAATTTTGCCTACATTCTTCTGATGCTTTCTTACATTCTCTACGCTGCTTAAAAGCCACTGGATTTTGACAGTTTTAATTGGAAGCTATGTAGAAAAGTACTGTTTCTACTAGGGTTTTCTGTCATCAGTTTATAATTACTATTACAAAAAATTAGGTGTTTCCAATATAATTTAAATATTTTGCATTTATCAGGTAAAAATGCAGTATCTGATCATGCTTACACAGCATGTTTCAGTGCTGGAAGGTGTGGAGTTAATTTCTTCTAATGTATGAATGTATTAGTTTTTGGTCATTTAAATGGTATGTGCTATCAATGTCTTGTAGCTTTTGTGTTTTATCAGAGTAGCCTGGAACTTTAGGATAAATAAAATGTAATAACCAAATAATAAGTAAGAGATCTGCATTTGTATTTTTTAATGATTTATTTAGGAAGTTTTAACAAGCTTACAGATCCTTGCCATGTAAATATCAGAGACAAAATAATAATAATTACAACAGTGAGCTTTTGTTTAGAGATTATACAGGAATATAGTAATCTCATCTCTCTCTTTAACAGGGTGTTACCATATTACACGTGAGTTTCATTACGCTACCCATCTCATCACTAGTGATTTTTATTAAATTGAATGAACTCTCTTGGATCTGCATTTGTAGGACTGGGTGATGCAGTGTGCTAAAATGATAGCCCCTTTTTATATTTCGAGGATATATTTTTATATTTCACCTTCCTGTGCAGCATAGGACATGAGTCACTTGGAGATTTAAATTATTGTAAATGGTGGCTTCTCTGAAACTTGAAGTCTTTAAATCATGATTTGAAAACTTCAGTAACTCAGCCAGAGAGGTTAGGGGTCTATTACAGGAGTGGGTGGGTGAAGTTCTGTAACCTGCAGTGTTCAGGAGATAATCATGATGGTCCTTTCTGACCTTAAAGTCTATGAGGCTGAATGCAAATAGAAAGACTCCCATGGACTTCAGTGGTGTTTTAGATCAGGTTCTTCATTTGAAAAGTGGTGAGATCTGTGGTCATTCATATGACATAAGAATGGCCATACTGGGTTAGACCAAAGGTCTGTCTAGCCCAGTAGTCTGTCTCTTGCAGTGGCCCGTGCCAGATGCTTCACAGGGAATGAACAGAACAGGGCAATTTTGAGTGATCCATCTCCTGTCATCCACTCCCACCTTCTTGCAGTTTGAGGATTAGGGATACCCAGAGCATGGGGTTGCATCCTGACCATCTTGGCTAATAGGTATTGATGGACCTGTCTTCCAGAAACTTATCTAGTTCCTTTTCAACTACACTTTTGCCCTTTACAATATCCCACGGCAGTATCCACAGGCTGACTTTGCATTATGTGAAGAAGTACTTCCTTATATTTGTTTTAAACCAGTTGCTTATTAATTTCATTGGGTGACCCCTCGTTCTTGTGTTATATGAAGGGGGTAAATAGCACTTTCCTGTTCACTGTCTCCATATCATTCATGATTTTATGAACCTCTATAATATCCCCCCTTTGTCGTCTCTTTTCTAATCTGAACAGTCCCAGTCTTTTTAATCTCTTCTTGTATGGAGCAGCTCCATACACCTAATGGTTTTCGTTGCCTTTCTCTGTACTGTTTCAAATTCTAATCTTTCTTAAAATAGGGTGACCAGAACTGCACACAGCATTCTACGTGTGGGCATATCATGGATATATAGTTCCACTATGATATTTCCTGTTTTATTATTTATTCCTTTCTTAATGATTCCTAACACTGTTGGCTTTTTTGACGGCCACTGCATAGTGAGCAGATGTTGAGATGATTTTTTCCAATGTGCATTATTTTGCACTTATCAGTATTGAATTTAATCTACCAAAATGTCCCCGAGTAACCCAGTTATGTGAGATCGCTTTGTAACTCTTCTCAGTCAACTTTGGACTTAAATATCGTGTGTAATTTTGTATTGTCTGAAAACTTTACCACCTCACTGTTCACCCCCTTTCCCAGATAATTTATGAGTATGTTGAACAGCACAGGTCCCAATACAAGTCCTTTGGGGACCCCTGCTATTTACTAATTTATCAATTGTGAAAACTGACCGTTTACTTTGTTTCCTAGCTTTTAACCAGTTACTGATTAAACAGGGACCTTGTCTCTTACCCCATAACTGCTTAGTTTGCTTAAGAGCCGTTGGTGAGGGACCTTGTCAAAGACTTTCTGAAAGTCCAAGTGTGCTATATCCACTGGATCACCCTTGTCCACATGCTTGTGAACTCCGTCAAAGAATTCTAATAGATTGGTGAGGGATCACTTCTCTTTACAAAAGTTATGCGACTCTTCCCCAACATATTGTGTTTATCTATGTGTCTGATAATTTTGTTCGTTACTGTAGTTTCAACCAGTTTGCCATGTGTGGAAATAAGGTCCATGTTCTAGGTCCAGCTCCTTTGAAAATCTACCTTCTGCTTTCACAAGCCTCACCGTTTTGGTCAGCAGTTTCATTGGAATGTTCCTGTCATGGGAGGTCGTTATCACGGAGGGATAAGTGATCTCTTAGGTAGCTAAGGCCAATCCAATAGAGGACTTTGAATATGAGGATGAATCCTTGAATTGAATTCCCTATTCAATGCAGAGAGCAGAGTGCTCAGGTAATGTGTTCCTTGTGGTCTGTGTTGCTAGGTAGACTGACCCCCAAAATAGGTAATAAAGAGAAATGCTGGTTTTGATTCTTTAGAGTCACACATCTTTTTGTAACTTCTAAAAGGACATGATTAAGTTAGGTGGGTTTGGGAACACTAGTGAGTGGAAGCACAGACCAGAGGAAGACACTGCTTTCAGAATGAAAATATATTGTTTTGGTTAGTTGTCAAGTCTGTCTTTTCTTTTCTCCTTCCTGCACATTGAGCCTTCAAGTAGCAGTTATATAGTGTGTCCCCAACTATATATTTTCTTACTGAATTTATTTCTCTTTTCATGCTCTCTTATGGAAAATAACTGGTAAGCTGAAATGCCATAAGAGAGGTAGAAGGCAAGAGTAGGTAGTAAAAGAGCATGTAGTCCAAAAACAAAAGTGTTGACCAAAAAACAAGTCATTACAACTTTGTGCTGTATAGACAGAGGAATCACTGAGCTGGGAGGTGACAGTCGTTCTCTGTTTGGTACTGATGAAATCACTCCCACATTACTCTGAGTTTTAGGTACCTCAGTACCTGAAAGAAGGTGATAAAGTGGAGGAAATTCAGGAAAAAGCAATAAAAATAGCTAAGAGGATGAAGGAATTGACTTATGATGAAAGTAAATGAATACATATAACTTGTTCAGGTGAGTAAAGGGCAAATATGATGCTACCAGCCATTATTCAAAGGATGTAAACACGAGTGAGCAAGATGACAACATTTACTTATACTTATGTTATATACTTCTGTTTAGAGTGGTCTAAAGTTATCTAGTTCAGAGTAATGGGATAAATAAATATCATGGTGACGGGCTCTTTATAAATGCCTAGAAAAAAGCAAAGGACAAATTAAACTGAATATAAGGGCAGTCTCCTAACTGGTAGTGTTTATTTGAATTACTGTAACATCTGGGAGCCCTAATCACGGACCAGGACCCCGTTGTGCTGATGTACAAACAGAACAAAAAGGCATCCCTTAGCAGTGATATCAGTGAGATATGTCCAGAATATCCCAAGGGAATGGTGGAAGGCCTTCCTTCTACTGGAGACCTTAACAATTAAATTAGCCAAATTAATGGAGAATAAACTCTAAAAAACAGAATACTGGCTAGAGGAGGGGGTTTGGTGAGCTAATGAATCTTTTGTGTCTCTGATTTCTCTGCTATATCACACATCCTCATGTCCTGTATTTGTTCTTCGTCTGACCTGGTAAATTACATTCTTAAGTATATTGTATTTATTTTTACTCCAGATGTTTTTTAATATTTAATTGTTTTCATGCTCCAGCAGAGATGCATACAGTCCAGAAAGATAAACTGCATTATTTTTCTTTTCATCTACATTGCCATTTGAAACAATTTCTTCATATCGACCACTATACTACTATTTAGTGTTTAGAATAATGATGTTTGCTCTTCTCTGTGTAGAATGCCCTTCCTCTGCTTGGATTCCATTTGGAAGTAGCTGCTATATTTTTCTTCAAGGCACATTAGATGAATTGGACAGTATTGATGATGCCAGAAATCTCTGTAAAGATAATGGTACTGTAATCCGTCTCTTTTATTTCTGATGCATTATTAAGAGATATGTACTCTGGTTGCATTTAATGAATAACTGTATTATTTTAGGACATTATTGTTATTAAACACGCTAAAATAATAAAGGTAAACAAACATCATTTTGAGAACACAAGTGGACCAGGAAAGAAATTTCCCCCTTGTGTGGCAAAGGCATTGCACATTTGACTAAATGCATTTTTTGTCTTTCTTTGAAGCACCAAGTACTAGTTACTGGTCTGGTCTGATCCAGTACAGCCAATCCTGTGTTTCTGGTGAATAGTACTGTCATCTAGATGGATAGCTGTCGAGCCTTGTGATTTAAGCTGACTTCACAGATTTTTTACTGTCACCCATGACTTTCTCAGTAGTCAAAGTATGGTAGTAGAGCAACTGCTTTTTTAATACTTCACCTCGATGGATGAGCTTCCAAATGTTCTTCAAGTTTTACTGGTGTTTATCTGAGAACGGGGACTGCAGTGGCAGTCAGATGCTCTGGAAACGCTTCCATATTCTTGTTAGAACAAGAGATTACCACAATTTTTGCTGTGTTAAGCATATATGATATCTCACCAGGTAACCCTGGACCCGAGTCCTTGCCTCAGTGTTCTCTGTAAAGTCTGGAAGTGGCTGTCATTCTCTCATTTTTCATTACTGCTTTCCCCCCACAGTAAAAAATCATAGATGTAGACTTAAAATTTCAGTCTAGATTCTTCTTTTAGCCCTCCATGGCAGAGGAGGTGCAAGGAGTCTTCCCTAGACCCCCACCCCATCCCAGCCCCCATTCACAGCTAGGCAAATTCATGGTACTGCTCTTGGAACAGGAAGAACAGCAGTCTGATGAAGACACAGGTGTTGTTCGATTCTCTGATGGGAAGGGAAAGAGAAACCGTTACCCTGCCAGCTAAGCCAAGCTCTTGCTTTACTCTGTAACATAGTGTAGCAGTAGGCTTTCCTCTGCGGCATTCCCAGAAGCATTGTGCCTGCCTCATATATTGTTGCCAGAGCAGTGCATGTCCACATCCTCTCCTTGCCACAGGGCGAGGACTTAAAGCCACAGACCAATAATAGTTCTTTCCTCTGGAATACCATCATTTTCTTTCAATGGCAGTGAAAGTAAAAAAATATAAACTGAACTGACATCTCCACCGTTGTAACCTGGAATATATGGTTAAAGAGACTGTCCATAATAGCTTGCATATTACATCACTTATTCCGTAGGGACACAGTTTACTGTTTGTTTGTTTTAAATGGAAGATTACTTTGGTTTTTTTGCCGTTTTTGGTTCAGTCCTATACTTGCTAATGGGAATGGGAAAATTCCCAGTGGTTTCAAATGGAACATGATTAAGGTTACAATTTTGTCATGGATATTTTTAGTAAAACTCATGGATAGGTCACAGGCAATAACCAAAAATTCACAGAAGCCGTGACTTGTCCCTAACTCTTACTAAAAGCATCCCTGACAAAATGGGGAGGGAAGAAGGTCCATCACCCTGCCCCACTGAATGCAGCAGCAGGGAGCTGCGCCCCCCACTCCTGCCCAGTGCCTGGAAGGCACCCCTGTCCATGGGGCTAGGAGCTGGGGGGGCCCCCACTGCTGCGGCTGAGAGATCTGGGGGGTTTCCTGCTGCCGCAGCAGCTGGACTTCTCTAGGGCACCAATGTCACGGAAAGTCACGGAATCCGTAACCTCCGTGACGTACTGGTAGCCTTAAATATGATCAGCTATTCAACATTTTTTTAACATTCAACTTACTATTCTAAATTTTATTTTATATTGTCTTACTTTACAGTGGAAAAATGGTTATGAAAAATCAGCTGAGCACTGGCAAGGAATTTCTGAAGCAGAATGCTGTTTCAACTTTTAGCTATTTCAGAGTAGTGCTTATGTATTAAACAAAAAGGTTTGGGCTTACTTATGTGTATGTGAAGATCTTTCCCATAGCTGAGTAATATTTTAAAGAGATCTGTATTGCAAACAGCATGTAAATGATATGATGATACTGTACGTTACAAAAGAGCTTAAATTTTGTGTTTCTTTTAAATGATCCACTAGTAGTCAGTATAGTCAAATTGACTACAAAATCTGAGACACATCAAGGGAAAAAAAGATTACAAATCAACTCTTTGATCTAATTAAATTATCTAAATTGTTTAGATTTTTTTCAGATTACATACTTAAATGTCTAAGTACATGTGTGTTTGCTAACATCTTAAATGGCATTTATATGACACTATGTGAATGTATTGTATATCCTGTCAGTCTGTCATTGCACTGCTGGGTAATGTATGTACACAATTGATTGGTTACTGGGTGGATCAGTATGTTCAGATGCCTTTCATATAGTATTTATAGTTGTTTCACTTCTGTTGCATGAAACGTGCTTTCAAAATTAGATTTATAGGGGCATTTTTTTTTTCAAATGCAGCTTCTGGAGCAGACATTATTAGTATAAAAAATAAAGAGGAGAATACATTTATACAGGAAACATTAAAAAATCACTGGCAAGTCCCTGATTATATTTCGTTGGGCATGTTCTTTGACACAGATGGTAAGTGAGAACTACCTTGTTGATATCTTAATACTTTGTCTCTCTTAACTGTAGAAAATGCAGGTCTTTGTGGTGGAATTATTAAATTACACAGCAGCCTCAGTTCTTTTCTTATTGAAAAGGTGTCCACATCCAAAAAAACAATTGCCATGCTCATCAGAACCATTGTTGGCATTGTCAGGGATTGAATGAGAATAGACACATAGCTCATCTCTCAGCCCTAGATGGTCCCTCCAAATCTGGGTTGAGACATGTCAGCAGAGGACTACATGGAAGCTTGTATTGCTGCTGTCTGTGCTATACCTATGTGGAGGATAAATACAGGATTATCTCCAGGTCTCTCAATCTGACAACTTTGACAAGCCCAATATCCATTTTCACAGATGATGGTTATAAGCATCTTTATGTGGTGTTTGCGTAGTTATAGAAACACTCTTGCTTGCTTTTCTCCATTCACATCAATAGCTAAAAAAACTGTAAATAAAATTTGTCCCTTTGTATATACGTACTAACTTCAGAAACACTATGTAAATCTGGAGTAACAACACTGAAATTAATGGATTATTTTGACTTTACGTATCTGAGAACAGAATTTAGCCCAGAGAAGAGAACATGATTTTGCTAGAGATCTTGAATCATAGAACTGTAGGACTGGAAGGGACCTCAAGAGATCATCTAGTGCAGACCCCTGCACTCACGGCAGGACTAAGCATTATCTAGACCATCCCTGACAGGTGTTTGTCTAACCAACTCTTAAAAATCTCCAATGATGGAGATTCCACAACCTCCCTAGGCAATTTATTCCAGTGCTTAACCACGCAACCATTAGGGATTTTTTCCTAATGTCCAACCTAAACCGACCTTGCTGCAATTTAACCCCCTTGCTTCTTGTCCTATCCTCAGAGGTTAAGGAGAACAATTTTTCTCCCTTCCTCCTTGTAACAATCTTTTATGTACTTGAAAACTGTTATCATGTCCCCTCTCAGTCTTCTCTTCTCCAGACTAAACAAACCCAATATTTTCAATCTTCCCTCATACATCATGTTTTCTAGACCTTTAATCATTTTTGTTGATTTTGTTCATCTTTCCTGAAATGTGGTGTCCAAAACTGGACACCATACTTCAGTTGAGGCCTAATCAGCATGGAAAAATCTTGACTTTTATTAAGCATGGGGAATGTTATTGCATGCTACACTTCTTTCATTGCCCCAGAACAACAGCAAAAGATAAGGTTAATTCTTTTTAAGTTTCCTACTACTTTGTGTAATATGCTTTCCTATTACATAAATTGTGTTCTGTTCTAGCCTGTATATGTGGCCATCTCCTTATGATGTGCCTCTTTCTGGATGTGGCTTTGAACTGCTTGCTGAGGGATGACTAATATTTATTAAATTACAGTTTATCATCATTTGAATCCCTCTCTCTTGGGTCCCAAGCACTGTACCCTAAGAGCCCAAAGTTACTTTCATTAAGGGAGCAGAGTAGGGATGTAAAACTTGCCTCTATGTCTTTAATAAAATCCTGATTTCTTTTTCTTCTGCATATCTAAGAAAATCAGTTTTATGTCAGAATCTGAGGCTCATTATTACATGCTAGTTTAAAGCGAAGTTCAGAAGTAACAATGTTGCTGGATTTGTTATTCCCGTTATTCCAATGGGAAAGTGAATAAGAGAGAGAATGTGACTTGTCCAATGTCACACATTAAGTCTGGCAGGCGCTGTAACCCAGACGCCTGAGCCGAGGTTTGGCACCTTAACTATGAGACCAACCTTCCTCCTCTGGACTCCCTAATACCAGGATTCTCACTGTGTCCCTGCAGGGAAAATACTCATTTTTTTCAAGATTCTTTTTATCTCCTCCTTTGCTGCGCTTATTTTCTTTGGTGGAAGCTTCCATGAAGATACTACAAACCTCAAAACTCTCTCTTGGCTGGGACACAGGTGTGTGACTTCTGTTCACAATAAATTCTACAGGGTTCATGGTGTGGATTATCAAGTCCATTTCCTACATCAAGGAGAGTTTGACATTATTAGTTTATCTAGATTAATGATCATTCTGATGTCCCTAGTCCTAAAGGATCATTCTACTGGTTTTAGGAGTTTTGCGAGTTACCAGCAGGCTGAGGACAGGCTAAAGACTGAGCTTGTGATCTGGAGAATAGTGTATATTAAAGAGCTCCTGGTCCTGACATAAAATCCTTCCCGTGCTCACAAAGGGGAAGACCAGAAAAGCATCAAAGCTAATATGTAAGCAGCAGTGTAAGCAATTTGTGTAGGAATTATAAGCCTGCTTTGGTATGCAAAAGGATGGAAGCCCAGCCACATGGCTAACATGACTGAATATGCATCATGAACACAAAAGGAATGGTCTCTAGGAAGAAGAGATGTTTGATCCCAAACTGGCAACCACATATGATACGTCCAAGAGCAATGAGTATATCCTTTATGAGAAAGGAGCAGTAACCAGTGCCCTGAAGCATGGGGATCTGGCCCAAATGTCAGCCTGTTGTATGGTGGCAGAATTTCTCTTCTCCAAGAAGCTCTTGAGAGCATATGTTGGACACGAACTGCATCTCTCACTGCACTGGATTTGAAGCATGTTGCCAGGATGCAGCCTGTACAAAGTACCAAGAAATAGCTTCAAAATGTTTAGTTTTCTTTTAAATTCAATTATTTTGTTTGATTTGTCAGTGTGAAAAACTGTTTTTCCATGAATGACATAATGTATAATTCCTTCAATCACAGATAATGCTTTTAAATGGTTTGACAAGTCGGAAATGAAATTTACCAATTGGATTGAAGAGGAGAGCAATGAGGAGCTCCTGAACACATGTGCTTCTATGTACACTAAGTCCGGGGGATGGAAAAAAATCAGTTGTGAAGATCTTCCTCTGACAGGGACCCTTTGTAAAACAGCCTGTAAGTACAATGTGGGTCTACATCACATGACCTCTCTCCTTCTTTCTCTGTACAGACAGACAGACACACACATATATTAAACTTTAGATTATAGCAGGTTACAATCAAACGTTAACATACTACACTGTACATTACTTGTTCGGGATCAGGTTAATATTCAAAGAACCTGGCATTTTGGCTTGCTAGCTTGGAAGCCCTCCTCCTCTGAGTACACTAGAAAAGATTACCAAATTTCTAAATACCTGTCCTCTTTTTGGCACTTCTCTTTTGTACATACTTGGTGTGAAGGGGTCATATTTTTCCAGTAGTGCTCAATAAAGAGTCTAGCTGCTAACAATAGAAAATAAATAATTTGCCCTTTGTTTAAAATGCAGATCCTTTACAGAAGCATTCAGTAAGCACGTCAGGGGATCTCCAGGAAGTTGGAATTTTGACATCAGATGAATCTCTTTAATTTCCTCCCAAACTCATATAATTGCTAGACCACAACCACTATATGTGCAAGTATGTTCCACTTTCCCAAAACAGCCCCACTCACAGAAAACCCCTCTAATAGCATCTCCCAAGTAGATGGATCTTAACTGGAGTCAAATGCCATCTATACAATAATTTATACAAATTTTCTTTATGAGCTACCCAAGTTAAAGATGCATATCACCTTTCCCATGTATACATCCAGATTGATTTCTTTGTCCAAAACCTTCTTCTATCTTTTTATCTGGGTTGTTTTCTTATCAACATCTTTTTCCATCAAAATTGTATATATCTTAGAAATTAAACCTTTTGTTCCAGCTTCCTCCTGGGTCAGCTCCTCAACTCTTGTTGAGGAGCTCTAGTTAGAGCTGCCTTGTATCCAGATTTAACAATACAATGTTTGACTTGTAAATACTGAAAATATGGGATCTTTATATTATTTTCATTATTACATACTGTTGATATGATTTCAAATCAGGATTTAGGAATAAATGTCTGAATTCAGTAATCTCAGCTCTTCTACACAGTTAAGAGACACTTCGATATTTCTTTGGAATAAATTCCTGATTGATAATGGAAATAGCTGAGAGAGCTTTGGCAACAAGAATTTAGAAAATTTGTCCAAAACTGCTAAGGTGGTCTGGATGAATGGGTGACTTTTTATTTTTGGTGATCTAAATTTCTTTCTAACTCAGCAACTACTATGAATAGCTGTATTTGGGCTCCATTATTGTTAGTTTTATGCACTGTTTGGATGTTTATTGTTAATCTAGTTTATCACATCTTTTAACTGTGATATATAACAATAACATGCCAAATTAAGGAAGCTAGTCCATCCCACTTTTTGAAATCACCCTGAGTCTTTTATGCTTCTGTCAAGGTTCCTCCCCACTCTGAACTCTAGGGTACAGATGTGGGGACCTGCATGAAAAACCTCCTAAGCTTATCTTTACCAGCTTAGGTCAAAACTTCCCCAAGGTACAAAATATTACACCCGTTATCCTTGGAATGGCCGCTACCACCACCAAACTAATACTGGTTACTGGGGAAGAGCTGTTTGGACGCGTCTTTCCCCCCAAAATACTTCCCAAAACCTTGCACCCCACTTCCTGGACAAGGTTTGGTAAAAAGCCTCACCAATTTGTCTAGGTGACTACAGACCCAGACCCTTGGATCTTAAGAACAATGAACAATCCTCCCAACACTTGCACCCCCCCTCTCCTGGGAAATGTTGGATAAAAAGCCTCACCAATTTGCATAGGTGACCACAGACCCAAACCCTTGGATCTGAGAACAATGAAAAAGCATTCAGTTTTTTACAAGAAGACTTTTAATAAAAAATAGAAGTAAATAGAAATAAAGAAATCCCCCCTGTAAAATCAGGATGGTAGATATCTTACAGGGTAATTAGATTCCAAAACATAGAGAACCCCTCTAGGCAAAACCTTAAGTTACAAAAAAGATACACAGACAGAAATAGTTATTCTATTCAGCACAATGCTTTTCTCAGCCATTTAAAGAAATCATAATCTAACACATACCTAGCTAGATTACTTACTAAAAGTTCTAAGACTCCATTCCTGTTCTGTCCCTGGCAAGAAGCAGCATACAGACAGACACAGACCCTTTGTTTCTCTCCCTCCTCCCAGCTTTTGAAAGTATCTTGTCTCCTCATTGGTCATTTTGGTCAGGTGCCAGCGAGGTTACCTTTAGCTTCTTAACCCTTTACAGGTGAGAGGAGCTTTCCCCTGGCCAGGAGGGATTTCAAAGGGGTTTACCCTTCCCTTTATATTTATGACAGCTTCCTTGTGAATTTTAATAGAATATCCTGCCATGTTTCTAATGTCATGTCAGGGATACCAACAGGGATGCACTGAAACAAAAATAACAACTTTGAAAGGACATTCATTTTTATTGAGGCTACCCTGAGTAGCCAAGAAATGTTGTGTTTGTTCCATTCCTCCAACTGTTTTATTATATTATTCCACACTGGAGGGTAATTTCCCTTAAAGAGATTTTTATGTTTCTCCACAATATTTACACCTACACATTTTAAAGATTCCTTTACCCATTTAAATTTATGTAGCTCACCACAGTTTGTTTTGAGCTTTTGGGAATATTAATTCCTAAAATTTCAGATTTATTGTTATTTTGAAGCCTGACACCTGCCTAAGGTCCAGAGTCAATTGTTATATAACTTTTAATAAGGTTTCTGACTCCTGCAAATATAACAAGACATTGTCCACATGCAAAGCTATTTTGTGTTCTAATCCAGAAGACATTTTGATGCCCTTTACCCAGGGGCTACTTCTTACCTTTATTGCAGGGGTCTCAAACTCAGTTTACCTTAGGGTCAGTGCCAGTCCTCAAATCCTCCCAGTGGGCCAATAATCCCAGTGGGTCACTGAAGATGGTGTTCAGAAAAGAAAACATTTATATTGTATGTTTTATTTCAAATTTCTTAGAAATAATAAAACTGTCATACCTTCAGGATTGCAGCAAATCCTGTTGAAACCTTCAGGATTGCAGCAAGGTGTGCATCAGATAGTTGTGTTTGGTATTTTGACTTGTTTATATTCGTTGTGGAAAAAAGTGATGCTGCCTCCATGGCTGACTCTGCCCGGCAACTAGTGATGGTGCCTCTGTCCCTGTCCCCTAGCCAATGGGAGCTGCAGGGGGCGGTACCTGCAGCAGACATTGCTGGCATCATGGCTATATGCGTCTCTCCTCCGTGGGCTACAGTGGGGCGGTTCTTGGGCCTCAGGTGGCCCGTGGTCCGGGACTTGGAGACCCCTGCTTTATTGCAAATGGCTTCATTGCCAAAGCAAACAACAGGGGGAATAACAGGCAACCCTGGCTATACCCCTTAACAAATTAAAAGGAGGCGATTGATGACCATTAACCAAAGCAGATGCTTGAGGATGAGTATATAGTGCCGACATGCCCCTATAACACTGATTTCCAAAATCTCTCTGAGGTGCTCATGTTCCAGACAGTCGAAGGCTTTCTCAACATCCAAAGAAAGTAGCACACGGGAAGTATGGCTAGAATTAACATTATAGTTCAATTCAGAGTTCTGATATCAGATATTCCTTTGAACAACATAGAATCATAGACTTTAAGGTCAGAAGGGACCATTATGATCATCTAGGCTGACCTCCTGCACAACGCAGGCCACGGAATCTCACCCACCAACTCCTGTAACAAACCCGTAACTTATGTCTGAGTTATTGAAGTCCTCAAATCGTGGTTTAAAGACATAAAGGTGTAGAGAATCCTCCAGCAAGTGACCCATGCCCCACGCTGGAGAGGAAGGCGAAAAACCCCAGGGCCTCTGCCAATCTGCCCTGGGGGAAAATTCCTTCCTGACCCCAGATACGACGATCAGCTAAACCCTGAGCATGTGGGCAAGACTCAACAGCCAGACACCCAAGAAAGAATTCTCTGTAGTAACTTGGATCCCATCCCATCACAGGCCATTGGGCATATCTACCATTAGTAGTCGAAGATCAATTAATTGCCAAAATTAGGCTATCCCATCGTATCATCTCCTCCATAAACTTATCAAGCTTTGTCTTGAAGCCAGATATGTCTTTTGCCCCCACTGCTTCCCTTGAAAGGCTGTTCCAGAACTTCACTCCTCTGATGGTTAGAAACCTTCGTCTAATTTCAAGTCTAAACTTCCTGACTGCCAGTTTATATCCATTTGTTCTTGTGTCCACACTGTACTGAGCTTAAATAATTCTTCTCCCTCCGTGGTATTTATCCCTCTGATATGTTTATAGATAGTAATCATATCTCCTCTCAGCCTTCTTTTAGTTAGGCTAAACAAGCCAAGCTCTTGGAGTCTCCCTTCATAGGACAGGTTTTCCATTCCTCGGATCATCCTAGTTCCCTTCTCTGTACCTGTTCCAGTTTGAATTCATCCTTCTTCAACCTGGGAGACCAGAACTGCACGCAGTATTCCAGATGAGGTCTCACCACTGCCTTGTATAACGGTACTAACACCTTATCTCTACTGGAAATACCTCGTCTGATGCATCCCAAGACCACATTAGCTTTTTTCACGGCCATATCACATTGGTGGCTCATAGACATCCTATGATCAACCAATACTCGGAGGTCCTTCTCCTCCTCTGTTACTTCCAGGTAATGTGTCCCCAGTTTATAACAGAAATTCTTGTTATTAATCCCTAAATGCATGACCTTGCACTTTTCACTATTAAATTTCATCCTATTACTATTATTCCAGTTTACAAGGTCATCGAGATCTTCCTGTGTGATATCCCGGTCCTTCTCTGTATTGGCAAATCCCGACTGGTCCAGGGGAACATATTTGGGCAAGATGACACTCAGGGTACGACTGCACAGCAATTAAACACCCATGGCTGGCCTGGGTCGGCTGTCTTGGGCTCTCAGGGCTTGGGCTGCAGGGCTATAAAATTGCTGTGTAGATGTTCGGGCTTGGGTGGAGCCCAAGCTCTGGGACTCCCCTCTCCCCCCCCCCCCAGAAAAAAGAAAAAAGTCTACATAGCAGTCTTGGCTTCAGGGCTAAAGCTCCATGAGCCCAAATCAGCTCACCCGGGCCAGCTGCAGACATACCCATTATCTGTTTGCTAACACCTTTGCATAAATTTTAGCATCAACATTAAATAAATAAATAGGTGTTATGATGCACAATTGTTACGATCTCTTCCGTCTTTAGGAATTGCCGCAATTGTTGTCTTTCCACAAATCAGGAATCTCATTCCCCTGCAATATATAATACTTTATTTGCCGATTTTAATATGTCATGGAAAGTAGCATCCAGTGTGACCAGTAGATTTCTCCCTTCAGTCTCCTCTGGAATACTCTTAATCCTTGCTATGTTCCTGTGTTCTGTATTTTCCATGTCCTCCATTTTTAATTCTGTTTTTTTTTCTTTTCTTTTTTCCCCTCAATTATTTGAATTCTTTCATTTAGATTAGTAATGCTGTCCAACTGCTTGATTAATCCTGTTTCCACATCTGATATTTTCCCATTCATATGATTAACTTCATTTTTTATTTCTTTATTATAAGCCTAGAACTCTTTCCTCATCTCCATATTCATCTTTTTTTGTTTTTAACAGCAGGTCCTTCAGGACAGATAGTGACTGGTCTTTCTCCACCTGCCTTCGTAATTTGCTGGAGGGGAAGTTACTCTCTTTAGTAGCCACGTCTTTGTTTTGAGGGAACAGATATTTATATTGGAAGATCTCTTTCCTTTCACAGACATCTAGATCTTCTTGTCTTTCCTTCTTGCTAGTTGCCTTTCTCTAAAGATGGCTCTTGCTGCACTTCTCTTTTATTTGTCTGATCTTTCCAGAATGGCCTCTGCCACACTTCCTCTCCCAGACACAATAGTACAAGTTATTATTTTTTTTAATTTTGCTACACTCACCCCTGTCTCTTTACAGGGTAATGAGGGTCCAGTTAAGTATCTCTGGGCTTGCAGAGTCATTTTTAATATGTTCTGAAAGCTGATGGCACTGGATTCAGTTGCTCAATTTTTCTCCCACACAGGCTGCTCTGTGGGACTGGGATCTGCCAGCTCTCTTCACCCCCCCTTTTTTTTTCCCTCTCCTGTTTTTCAAAGCTTGCTCTACTGATGGTTATTCAAATTTAAGGCATGGATCTGTGGGTTCAGGTTGGCTTGGTTCTTTTTATCTTTTTAAATCACTTTCATTTATTCCCCCACTGCCATTTATTGCAGAGAACTGGATTACGCCACCATCTTGTTTGCTGCCTTAACCACACCCCCATAACTGTATTTTTTATAATTTTGTTTCACTATGTGTTTGGTCTTTAACAATTAATAGACTAGATTTCACAGTATGTGTAAAAATAGGCTTTAATGGTGCTATAATTTAAACAGTTCTTCCAGAAACCTTATTCCTCTCTCTCCTTTGGGCTGGTTCTGGGTTGTTTTCCAGTACTCTACTTTGGCCAAGGCCTGATCTACAATAAAAAATTAGTTCGGTTTAATTACATTGGTTATGGGGTGTAGAAAAATCCATACCCCAGAGAGGCGTAATTAAGCCAGCCTACATCCCTGTATAGACAGTGCTAGGTGGACAGAAGAATTCTTCCATTCTCCTAGCTACCGCCCTTTGGGGAGGTGCATTACCTATGCCGACAGGAGAATCTCTCCCATCAGCGTAGATAGTGTCTACACTGAAGTGCTACAGCGGCACAGCTGCATCAGTGCAGCTGTAGCATTTTAAGTGTAGACAAGCCACAAGTCTTGTGGACTATAAAAGCTATTGTTTTTTCTGATTTACTGATAATTATCTGAATTATTGACCCCTTGACTAGCTTGCAGAGAGAATTCATCTAAAGTTCTAGAAGTGTTAACCACATGACTGTGCATATAATTTCAGTCTAAGGGAAGCTACAGAGAAGGAGTGTTCATGCTTATGTTAGAGATCTCTCTGTAGCCTTTCCCTACCACTACTGTCCAGTTGTGTGTTGGTGGGTGATCCTTTTTTGTATAATAGTTCAGTTTTCTAGAAGACACCACAATATATCTAAAAACATGAGTTTGCTGTGTCACTGTCTCAAAATCCTTATTGAAGAACCATATATTAACAGGAATTACAAAAGCCCCTAGTTTACTACAATGATAATACATTGTGCTGCGGTTAGTTTTAGAAATGTAAGTTATGTGGATGTGGAGCCATGTAGATGCATTGGTATGTTGTGGGAAAAGAAAGTTCAGTGTTGACATTTGGCAGCTGTGTTTGATGAGCATGTCGCAACCTGGTTATAAAAACAAAGTTGTACTTATAGGGTCCTAGTCCTCTTCTCTTACCAGTGCAAATTAGGAGTAACTGTTGAAAGCAAGGCACTTACCCTGATGAATGAGAGAAGAATAAGGCCCATGGTGTAGATGGGAGCCAAAGTGACTTGACTGAGGACATAGAGGAGCCAGTCACAGAAGCCAGGTTTCAGAGTAGCAGCCGTGTTAGTCTGTATTCGCAAAAGAAAAGGAGGACTTGTGGCACCTTAGAGACTAACAACTTTATTTGAGCATAAGCTTTCGTGAGCTACAGCTCCCTTCATCAGATGGATGTATCCGATGAAGTGAGCTGTAGCTCACGAAAGCTTATGCTCAAATAAAGTTGTTAGTCTCTAAGGTGCCACAAGTTCTCCTTTTCTTTTAGTCACAGAAGTGAGATTCGAGTCTGGTTTCACACTTAAATGACACCTCCTGTCAACCACACTTATGTTACCTTATTCTTCTTTTTCTGTTGACTTCATAGACACCTGCATGAGTGGTGGGGCCATCTTTTTTTAATAATACAGTGAGGTAAACTTTTTTCTGTGAGAATGTATTCTCTCAATTGCTTACACATCAAAAACTGTGATTAAAAATTAACTTTCTTTGAAAACAGTAGTTTATTTCATACAAACATGAAACAAGCTAAACACATAATTTTAAATCTTTTTTTTTCCTTGTAGTTGCATATGAAAAGAAGTACTTACCAGGTGAGTGTTTACATACCTTTGCGTGAAGTTTACAAACATTTTATGGATATTATTCACTGCCCCACTCGCTTGCTTCCCAACTCCCACCTCCAAAAAAAGAGACACTGTATTTCTCCTGGTTATAGAAATACACATCTTGATTTATTACCTTATCTTGAGTGATGTGCATACATATTATGTCAGCTGGTATTTTGTTGTTATAATATTAGACTAAGCTTTCACAAGGAAGGGAAAGAGCTTTATTACTTATATTAGAACTTCAAAAGGCACGAGGTTAGTAAAATTCCCACTGCTCGTAGAGAGGTAGGTCAGGGTTGCAGAGATTGTGACATTTTCCAGCTCACTTTGGATGGTTAGTCATGTTTATCTCTTGGATGTAAAATAGATAAAGAAATAAACTGATATATGGTTACCATACATCTGGGTTTTCCCGGACACCACCTCTTTTTTAAAAATTCTTTTTCAAATAAGAGGCAGTGTCTGGGATTTTTGCAGGCAGACATTGCAGCTCAGAAAGAGCTGTGTCCATGCCCTCATTGGTCCTTTCTCTGCAGCCGCAGCTGTTGGATCCTATCCAGCCAGGCCCCAGCTCCCATCCCCGGGGAGGGAGAGAGTCCCAAAGGCAGGTGCTGACTGACAGCTGATTCTGTATCCTGGGCCTGCATTAGCAGGCTGAGAGGGAGCGACACTGCCCCCTACCTTGAGAGTGAGGCTGCAGGTACCCCCTCCAGCTTCCCTCAGGTATCCTTCCCAGTACACACACCCCTCCAGCATCCTTCCGAATACTCATCCAGCTCTCCCTCCTCCCCCCACCTCTGACAGTGTCCTCTTTTTTGGGAACCTGAAATATGGTAACCCTAAACTGATAGGAATTCCCTTTTTCTTTATCAAACCTGCAACTGTTATGACTAACCCCTAAAGGGTTTGTTCAAAGTAACAAGTGGAGCTTTATCCATCTCCCTTCCTAGACAGAAACTCTCACTGGCCTCTGCCTAGTTTCTACCTACCTCCTCCATTTGCTAAATCATCCAAGAATTCAAAATGTACTAAAATTACTCAGCTTAAAACATAAGGATGGTCTTCAGACCAGAGGAAAACTCTAGGGTTGTTGGCTGTACATATACACTGATAATTAAAGTGCTTTTCAGGCCCCACCTGCACTTCAAAATGGATTGTGTTTGGAAATGGCTTTTAAACTCTGTCATAAAAATGACTTCAGCAACATAGTTGTGTCACCACTATGAATAGGCCCCAACAGGTTAACAACATTTCAAAAAGAAACACTTCAAAATTATTCTTCATCCATGTGTGGCGCAAATAGGTGTGAGATGAAACCATTTTTGTAACAGGAAGCGTTTTTAGAAACCCAACATGGCATCTTGTGTACTTACACAAGCCTTAAATTAAGGGTCAGGAACAGATGTCCCTTGCTGGGGATAGCCCTACTATGTGTAAGAGTAACTAGTATGTAACTTAACTAGTCATAAAGATACATATTCAGAACCAGTTTATAAATATGTCACTTTGCTTGATCAGTTCCATATCTTCAATTATTTTACCATTTTAGCAGAGTAAGATTTTCAGTAGTGCAATACAAGAGAGGACATCCCTATCTGAGCTCATAGTAACCTCTTCAAGTCAGGAATCAACATTACTTTTATCACATAATCCCCAGGACACTGAGTTCATTTTGTTCAAAAGACATTTTCAGTTTTCTTTATAGTCATGTTAATGAAATATTTGCTAATCGGATCAATATTGAGTTAAGAGGCCAGTAAAACAATTAAAGAAAATGGAGAAAGTGACTGTCTTGGAAGATAAATTGCCTGATGTCTATATAAGTTTCCTTGTCTGCCAAATGTTAACCCATTTTTACCTGGTGGCAGTTAATGCCCCATTTTAACAAAATAGCATAAGGTTCATATTTTTAATCAAAACTAGAAATGTAATGTTTTTAATAGAAATTCACATTTTTTTAAATAAGCTGCTTTTTCTCCCTTTTAAATCTGAATAGCTTATCACTTTGTACAGAATAGAAATTCTCTGATATCAGTGGAGGTTCTGAACTAAATGGTTAACATAAGCTTGAATGGAATATTTCTGAAGCATCTGGATTGATTCAGTATATTCTCCTCCGAAACCAATAGAACCTTCCTGTTGAATGAGTAGTTTTGCTCAAAAATGTCTGGGTCACTGCTCATTTCAATTGAACAAAACCATGGCTGCAATCAGATACAAACAACGTTCTGAACTAGTTTAAATTTTTAAATATTCAAAGGCACTAGTTTTTCCTGAGCCCAAATGATGGAAGTCACCCCCACTTCCTCAGCGGCAAGTTCTAATAATCAGGCTTTGTGTAGCTATTTCTGTGGGGAATGGAATTCACATGGCTGGGTTTAGACGTTAGTTCCTTTGTTGCTGGACGTGACCACTGCCTTTTCGTGTGGGACTTTTGATCTGAGCCATATCCTCTCCTTACACCTTTGTACATCTGGAGTGGCTAACCGTTGACCTGGGTGGAGTTACTCTTGATTTATACTGAGGTGAGGGCTTAATATGGATCTGTGTAATCATGCGTCTAAATTCCCCTTGTCAGCTGGTCTATTCAGAGCTAGTACGGATATTCCTTCCGTGGTAGACTCTTGGAACCACTAAAACCCCGAGTAGGCAATAAGGGGAATGAAAAGAAAGAATGATAACCTTTAGGCATGCAACAGCTCCATATTTTCTTGTATTTTCACAGTATTTGTGACACTTAGGGGTAAGTTCTATTCTCATTCCTTGACTACTGCAGATTCTTTGTTTATCAAGAAAGGCATAGGATCAGTGGGTGCTAGTTTAATTTTTTTTTTAACCCCACATTGTACACGAGGAGCAGGTTTTCCTACAGTGAGCACTAGCAGGAGCACATTCTGAATTGGATTCCCTGACACCTGTAAATGTACCATTTCCACATGTAATTTTCCACTGAGAGATGAGAAAAAATGGTAACTTGGTCTTCCATTATGTTTGCTCCACTCTTGGGATTAATCCCTTGGAAAAAAGCACAGCTATAAAATACTTCTGCCAAAATAAAGTTAATTCATATTTTAGTGATGTGTAAAGTGCGATGCCTAGAGGAGTTCATCCCTTTTTAACGTCAGAATATTTATTTGGTTAAAGAATTCTGGAAAATGAAGAGGAGAAACTGGGATTTGAAAAGAAGTCCCAACCATTGGAATTTTTCTAAACAATTAAATGACAAAAAAAGTCAACTATGAAGACAGACTAGATTACAGAAAAGGAAGAGCTAATGGTTTAGCATGTTTGCCAAATAATCCCAAGGTTTCCATTTGCTGCCACTGAACAAACAATATGAATGCAATTAATTATAAAATAAACTGGATAACTGTGCACTTAATGTTTATATCTCCTTTAGTATAGATACCTGGTGTATGGATGGCCATTTAAAGACTGTCTTCTTTTGTTTCAGATAAAACTGCTTTGACTACCACCTTGGTCATAATTTTTACCATAGTTGTGACAGTTTCTGCAGCATTATTTTGGTTCCTGTACAAAAGAAATATTTCTTCTGCTTCTGGAGCTTTATGTATAACACACAATTCAACAGCTGAAACGCCATACAGTGATGAAACTGTTCTAATAGATGAAGAAAATGAGTATACTGCTTAAAATTTAAAATTATACAATTTTATTTAAATGCCAGAAAGTGACACCTTACCCATATTTAGGCTTCAGTCCTGTAACCACTTAAGCACATGCATAACTTTACTCATGTAATAATGTGCTACTTGTTAGGACACAGATAGAGAAGACAGACTAAAAATAGTCTAAAGTATTTCCCATTGGGCTGTCAGTTCATATTCAAAATTCTCTCCAAATGTATTTTAGTACACCTGGAAATACTTTAATGTATGAGTTGGTCTGTCTCAGTAAAGTGTCATTCTGAAAAGAGCAAGCATTCAATTATGCCACAAATGTTAAGATTTCAAAAATTCTGCAAGATTTCCATAATGGGTTTTAAATTAATTTGTTTCATCTGTGTTCACGACTGGTTTTCATTTCTGTGACTATTATAGCAAATAAAAGTTTGAGACTATCTACTTTTAAATGAATAGTATAGAAAGAAAATTTGAATTTGTGTTTGCACTGGAAACTTAATTCAAAGAACTTCCAGTCAATGCACAGAAATGAGCCACGTGATCTCTGTTGTCAAAACAGTCTGAACTTCAACCCATTCAGACTCATGAAACTGGGATTAAAAAAAAAAAGTGCTATTGCCCAAAATGAGTAATTTCAGACAAAACTGAGCAAATTATCTGCAAACAATTTAAGAGGAAGGTGAAATTCCTCAAATTAATTGCCCAGTTCAAGCTAGGCTTAGAGTCCAAATGTTCAAAAACTCTCTCATTTTGTAGTTGCAGCTAATTGTAGCTGCAGGATTAAGAGGTCAAGTCTTGGCCCCAGTTGTGCAATATGATGCAGATGGGCAGACCCTTAAAGTTGCATGGAAGTAATTTGGCCTCTGCACAGGAACAGGGATCTGCCTCCACAGATCAGGGTTTAGCATCTATCATCATAGCCATGCTTATTTGATTGCAAAATTAGCCTTCTATACCCTGCAATATGTAGTCATCCTGTTTTTTAAGGGGGAAACTATTGGGCAAACTGTTTGCCAAGAGTTCATCTGGCTAACTTGCAACTGTTTTAATATATAAAACTAAATTGAAAGATTGCTGTGTGCATGTGTACTCTGTTGCCACAAATTTCCTTTTCTATGCTTTAAAATGTTGCATTTTACCCAGTGAGACTGCAAAAAGACCAAAACTTTGAGTGAAGATTCTCAAGGGAGGTCCACATCTCTGTGAAGCAAAGGAATTGGTATCCGAGAAGGTAGATTTGATACACACCAAGCAAAAGTCAGTAAATGATGATAGCATGATAAGGAACAGCATATTTATATGTATATTGTATGCTTCCTTCAGAACTTAATGGAATGAAATCTTCATTTCTTGAGCAAGTATCAGAAGGGTAGCCATGCTAGTCTGTATCCACAAAAACAACGAGGAATCCGGTGGCACCTTAAAGACTAACAGATTTATTTGGGCATAAACTTTTGTGGGTAAAGCTTGAAGTGGGTTTTTTTACCCACACAAGCTTATGCTCAAATAAATGTGTTAGTATTTAAGGTGCCACCGGACACCTCTTTGTATTTCTGGAGCAGAAACTGTATTGGAACGGCAAAGAAATGGAGGCTGACTTTATTCTCTATACATATAAAATAATGAGAACAGTAGGAAATGTAGTAGTCTTCCTTTTTTGCAGTCCCTCACCTCCTTAGGTGCTCTGAGCTCAGCTTCTATAGCCAGTCTCATCTCTCTTCATTAAATCTTATTACAGAATCTAAATGGTTCAAACATTAGAAAGCTTCATGCCTATTGCTCCAGCCAGTGCCCCCATCCCTGTTTTCCCCCACACCGACAATGCTGTTTTGTTGATTCTTTTAAACATTCCGATGTGTGGCACTACTGTGTATGTTGTCTAAGGGCTGAATAGAATGTTTGTTGAGGTATTCAGCAGTATTCATTCCTGTAGAGGGACCAGGGAAAATTCTCAAGGTGCCATTCAAATTTGCCCGAGTCTAGCTTTTAAAAGGACAGCTTTAGATTTAGTTGGGGATTGGTCCTGCTTTGAGCAGGGCGTTGGACTAGATGACCTCCTGAGGTCCCTTCCAACCCTGATATTCTATGATAGCACCTAACCCTAGTGTTAAAGATACTAATCATGAACAAGGAGTGCACCAAGTAATTGAATGGAAGCTCTTCTCTGAATTTACAGCAGTATAAACTACTCTTGCACTCTGGTGCAGAGTTAAGACACCCTAGATCTAAGTTTACAGTCATAGCCAAAATGTTGTAGCAAAGCTATAGTACTTTCTGGTTTACATACAGAAGTTGTGGATCAAGTGACCACTCCTTGGCAGCATTCTCAAGTACACAGACAGCAGCACTCCAGGTCTGTTGATTGTCAAGTCACTAAACAAGAGAAACGTCATTCTCAGACCCCATAGACAAACAGATTAGGGGGATTGTATTAAAGGTTCAGATTCCTGTGAAGTATAGATGGGTGCTGTCCACGTTTTCAAAAAAACAGTAATGGAGACAGTAACACTATTAACTTGGGTTAGGAACTTGTTAAAGCCTATAGATGCGTGGTGTTGAATTTGAGCTGCTAACTTGAATTAAAAGCTCAGTTGGCATGTCTCTACTGCAATCTGGTCAGCTTTTTATTTTTAGACATACATACCCACAGGCATGACAGCAGTAATTGTGCTCACTTATGCAAACTTAAGTAGTAAACCTCACTAGAGGCAAATAGTCAGTTCAGAGTGCACTGCAAAATGTAAATATGTGTAAACGTCAGTGGTAACGGAAGCTAGCTTTTTTTAATTCAGTTAAGGCCCCAAGTAAAGTGAGGTGAAATGGGTATACGTTATGGGGGCCTGATCCACCAAGGAGCCCAGATAGAGGGCCACAAGCCCATCACCATGAAAAAAAATTCAGGCTAAAATTTAGATTTGAGTTTGACTAAACATTTATTTATATAATCTCAGTATGTTTGATTGTACCTGTGTATCTGTGCAGCATCCAGATCTCGCAATCTAACTGAGCCAATCAGATGCAGTGTTTGAACAGAAGCAACATTCTGAACAGTGAGTTGGTCCTCCAGGGTTGAGACACAACAGTGTCACAGTGTATTAATTTGTGCCATGTCTGGCATTAAATACAAATCAGGCAGCCAGAAACTTCAGAGCTTAAAGAAAGGTAAAGAAAAGAAGCTGAAGGATGTCAATCCATGATCTAATTTTTCTAGTCAGACAAGGCCTCTCAACAGCCTGGTTCAAGCAATGCACAAACTGGGAAACTGGATGAAGAAAAACAGCAGTGTTGTGGCGATTCCAATCTCATGGCTTCCAAAGGTAATCATGTAATATTACCATCAGACTCAGGTTTTCAACAAGTAGGAGAAAGTAGTGCTGCATTACTTAGTGATGTGTGTTGGGTTTTTTTTTTTATTTTAAGATTCAGGATTGTGGCTAAAAAACATTAGATTGTAGTACACCAAATAAAATTTTTTTTTTGATTAACATTTCTTCAAAATTCAGAAGCTAGAGAAGCCAATACCAAAAGATGTTGGCCATAGTTTTCCTTAAATGCAAGATATTTTTTTGGTGGGGGGTACAAACAACAACACTGAGACTGGCTCGAGTCTACTTTTGGGAAGGACCTTGAACTGCCATTAGTTATCTTATTAATGAGATTTACAACTAATTTTTAGTGAAGTGTACATAGCTTTAAGAATTTTTTGCACACTGCCGGTGGATTGGCAGAAGCAGAAAAAAGTTTCAGCAAGCTAGCACTCATCAGAAACTGTAGATTATTTACTATGGCACAGGAACACTTAAGTCACCTTGCTGTTTTGTCTGAGTGTGAACTCAAGAAAAAATAAATGTTGTGAGATCACGTGTGATTTTGCAATAAAAAGGCCAAACTAAAGTTGTAAAGTGATGAGGCCTGTGTGTGCCCTTTCAAAAATAAAATTAATTTTTTCTTTCATTAGTGTGTCTGTAAGGATGGGATAGACGCCTGTGTTATAAATTTGTCCTGGGCCCAGCAAAAGGTTGCTTAGGCCTAGTAGCAGAGTCTTGACTGGCCACACCTCCTCCATGGCAGGAAGTAGAAGCCATGTTACTAGTCACTTAAAACTTGTTTCAACTATATACAGTCAAGAACTGGCCTGTGTTGGTAGTGGATTTCCTAGATAATCCAACAGGGCAGCTCTTAATCTCGGAATTGGTAGATTCTACAGTACTTATGCATATTACACAAATTGAGCTTGAAGGAAGAATTCTACTTATAATGGTATAGAACAGAGGGACTCTCCTTGTACCATTTTATGTATCTGTTCCCCTTGAAAAAGTTAGTCAATAGTAATCTACTTCTTGACAGATGTCTAACCAAACGCAGGTGTAAAAAGGATAGGTAGAGATCTGAACCTAGATAATGAAATGTTCTACAGAAAAAGGCTCTTTTCTATAGATCACAAGAATGTATATTCAACCTTACTTCTTCCAAGTTGGTATTCCCAGAGTGGTATTAGTTTTTATACCAGTAAATTGTTCCCCAGGTTACAGAGAACATTAAGACAGTATATAAGTTACCAGACTTACAAGGTGAGATGTGTACATCTTGCTACCATGTTAAATTTAGGAAGACAGCTCTACAGTTACCCATGTTTAAAAAAGGAACATTCCAGCGCAGTTCTATGCATCATCTTTATTTATAAAGAAGTGACAACACTAGAAAACACATTGATATAACCAGTGCTTTAACAGTGAATGTGGGATCTAAAAAAGGTTTTTAAGCTAAACAGGTCAATTAAGATTTTAAATCCTATCAAGTTGCATTTCTGCCAGGAATGCCAAAATGCAAGAGTTTACAGCTGCAATACTTCCTTAATGGAATATCCACATAATATCAAATATAATCTCAAATTTCCAAATCAGTACATAAAAAAGCTATCATTATCACTTTAATAGTAGAAGCCCCTTGCACGTTCTTATTGCTGTTGAGTTTAAACACTCTTCAAATAAAATTTGGAAACCGAATACCGCAGTGTTTTACAGTACCCATTCATCCTATGTTAACACTGGAAGCAAGTGATTATAAGAAACTACAACATAAGCATTTTTAAAAGGAAAATTTATGCTATAAGTACACGGGTCCCGCCACCCAAAAGACACACAATTACCAGTATAGGAGAAAAACTTGATAGACCAATCCAGCAATCTAACTGACTATAGTAAGAAGTTAATAGAAAGGGAGATAGGACTTCCTTAAATATTTAAAATCTACTTTTTCAAAATGAGGCATAACATCCCATCTCAAAGGGGATACAGCATTGTATATCTAACTCTTGCACACCTTGCTGAATACTTTTCAAATTCACTGTTTGTGTTCTGGTATGCAGCAATAGATTGAGTTCAGTAATGCTTTAAAAACTATAGTAATATTCAATGCGCTTTCTACTAAAGAGCAAAAAATAAATGCATATTGATGGTACTCAGTTCAGCATCTTTGCAGCACTTCTGTTTGGCTCTTGCAGCATTAAGCAGTGTCAAAACTTCTGCCAGCATCACTATCTTCAGAATCATCCTCTGAAGCTGTTGGAAGAATATAGTACAATCAGAAGCCTTCTTAAAGGTCTGTAAAATGTAGAATTAAAGTGGTTTTTAGTTTAAATGTGAGTAGAAGAGATTTTTTAATTTATAATACCAAAATTCAGAATTTTCCATCACAAGAATCAGACCATTCAAACCTATGTTAAAATGCAAGATTTTCCAAGTAGAATGCAGGCTCTTAAAAAAATTTATCCCAAACATTACATGCAGCTGCCATTGGCTTAAATAATAAAAAAAACCACACACACACCTAAACACCTGCACCTGCTTATGCCCGAGTACAAACTGGCCCTTCTTTATGGTGACTAACATCAGTAGCTATGGCAGGGAAACACTAACAGTGGTGGTTATGGGATAGAAAAAGTCAAAGTGAACAGAGTATGTTCAGGTATTTCTAAAATATCTAAAGATTCATTATCCTAAACAGAGAATACTTTAGAAAATTAATAGTTTTACAAAGCTGTCAGCCATACTGTGTCACTTATTTTTGCTTCGAAGTAACAATTTTCAGAGATTCTCTAGTACTATGTGCTATAGAAAATGGTGGTAAAAATTTATATAGAACTGCATGAGAGGGAAACGGGAAAGAATACACATTTGCAAGCTGTGGAAAAAATTGTGATGTACATATATGCAACACACATCCTGACATGCTCTAAGATGTTTGTGTACACACAGGAATCACTTCCACCACCACAGAAGTGCAACTGCCTTTTGGGTGAGCAATGCAGTTGTTACTGTTTAGTGCCCTGAACTGTTTAGTATGAAAAAAGAATTTCAGCAAGTATGTCTTAACACAGCACTAGAGTGGGAGATAGCTTAGGATCATCTATATGGAAAACTGTCAGCGTAAGTACTTTTGAACCATCTTGGATAAACCTACTTGCGTTCAGGAACAACCTGTTCATGAATAGCTGCAATATAAGTAGCTGTGGCAGAATTCAATTTTTTGGGGGGTTGTAAATTCAATCAATCAGTATTTATTTTTAACCTTCCCTCTCCCAATTTTACCAAATACAGTTTTCACAGCAGGGCTATAGATGATTCCCTGCATTGTTGGGGAAACTGGATCCCTGGAAGCGGAGGCTGCAGGGAAGGCTGTGGTGCTGGTGGGACTGAGCAGACATTTCTGGCCAGGACTACAGGGAGGAAGACAAGCCCCCAAGAGTGGGGGGGGGGGGGGGTCACCCACTGCTGAACACCTCCTTTCTCGGGACAGCTCTCACACGCCCAGAAAGTGAGTGAGTGAACAGGGCCACCCTACAGGCTGCAGAGGGCTTTCTGCACACCAATACCACCACATCCCTATGGGTGCAAGGAAAGCTATGCTCAGATTGCTATTATTGGACATTTTTTTCCATTGATTTCTGTGTCAGGTAAAAATCAACATTTACTGATGACTACCAATTTAAATTCAATTGTGCCAAGCCTAAGTGTAAGTTAAAAGGGAAGTCTGGCCTCAATTCTCCCCTTCCCCTCTAAAACTAAATTAGTTTGTGCATTAAATATGCTCTCCCTCACCACAGTTTTTACAATTTCAGACTCCCAAACTCAGTGTTTATGTCAATTGATAGATCACCTGTCAAATTCTCTGCAGATCAAACTCAAGGTGAAACAAGGCTCATTCCAGAATTTGTTTGTACTATAAAAGGAACACAACTACCTACATGAGGAATAAGTTATTTTATAAAAAACTTCTGGTCACCTTGGTTTTGGAAAAATATTAGCTAGCTAACAACTAGATCAGTACCATATGAAGTCATATATTCAGGCCCATGAAACTAAATCAGAATTTGTTTCCTGCAGCACAAGCAAAGAATTATCTTTATAGTACTCTGGACACTTCATCTCCTGGATGGAAATCATATTCAGACCTTATGACCTGTATTCCATTTTTCTATAAAGAGTCATCTGTACATTGAGGTTGACAAATCAAAGTAGTCATCAGTATCTTTCCAATGTCTACACGTAGCAACAAGCAAAACACAACACTTAGTGCAAGTGCAAGTTTAAGCACTAGGCTATGCGGGCTTCTGCCAGTGTAGCCCAGGGCACAGGAACTAGGTAGTGAAAAGTTTACCCAGTTGCTATACTTTCACTCTGCTAGAGGTCTTCCAACTGGCCTGTGTGTATCACAAAAGCTGGTGCTGACAAACAAAGGAATAGCCAAAATGGTTCAGGTTGGGGGAGCCAGAGAGGAAGGGATGTGCATCGCCTAAGTGGTCTCAACTGCAATTTAAGCTGCCTTCCCCTAATAAAACCCCTATAAAAAGGTAACAGGCTGCAGGTCACCACCAAGTGACCACAAACTACAATTTGGGAACTAATTATTCCAATAAATGGAGACAAGTTAATCTGAATAATTAAAGAATCCTGGTACTGTTATGCACAGGCTTCAATTACAGAGGATAGTCCTACTGGTCTCAAAAAATAAATCCACTCCCCAACAGACTATAAACATTTAGGAAAGCTAATTTCAGCCCTTAATCTAGACGCCAATTCACCTGCACCACCCTTCCAGTGTTACATGATAAAATAGCCACTGCTGTATAAACTCACAAGCCAGCTTCAGCATTTATGTTTGGTACTATAGCAAGCAGGATTTTCAGTTTAGTTTCCTTATGTTGACTTAACCTGAAGTGAAACTGAACGAATCTGTGAGGGAAAAACCACCTACTTTCAATATCTTCCATATGTGCCTGAAGAGTTCTTGCAAGGTTAATAAACTAGAAACAAGGCAAAGAGAAAGTAATTTAAATGTTGCAAAATAATCTGCAGAAACTTGCAACAAGTTAGCACAGAGGTTTGCTTTCTTCTTTAAAAAAAAAAAAAAACACTATGCATTTTATGCCTTTACCCCAAAGCCATTCCCAAGGGACAATCACTCTATGCCCTTATCAGCATAAACCATCAGTACAAAGTTTAAAAAAATAAGGCACATTGTATCAGACTATTGTGTAATACCAATTGGAAGTGTGAATCTCCACTGTGTCAAAAATAATCCTGACAGTGAAGTCAAGGGTGTCATGTTCATGCTCTATATTCTGCAAAACATGTCTAATTTAAGAGTCAAATATACAGTCAGTCAGTTATGAAAATGGGAAAAAATTTAATAAAAGCCTTTTCGTCCCTAGTGTTACAAAATGTCATTATATAATGACATTTTGTAATATATAAAAACCAAACTAACTTGGTATACAAATTGATCTAATGAGTAATGACTTGATTATGTGAACTCGTTTCATCTACATTAATCTGAATATAGTGGGATTTTATGGGGAAATAGAACCCACTTGACTAATGATCGTCAGAGAATCTACACTAAGGAACCTATGCAAACTATAGTAAATAGAAGGCTTAAAAATATAATAAAATAAGTCACTAATTACAACTTTAATGCTTTAAAAGATTAGGGTGGAGATTTTCAGAACTCAGACAGTTGGGTGCCCAGTTTCCCATTAGCTTTCATGAAAAGGGGGTATACAAATCCCATGGCATCGCTGAAATTCTTAACCTAGATTTTTAGCAATTAAAATTTAATTATTAGTTATAGCTGCCTTCAGAACCACATTCAATACACCATAAATTGTAAGTTGCAGTGATAAGAATATATTTTATACGTGTAGCACCATAAATGTACATGACCCTGCAGAGTAGGAGATTAGGGTCAAATTCCCTACCCCAAATGTTTAAAGTCTAGGCATACTATCTGGTACAAAACAAAACAGACATAGCCATGTGTTGATAATTCGAAGGTTTCATGGAATAGGTTCACACTTTCTGCAGTTTTTCTTCTTGTTAAAAGGACTAGCTTTTCAATAGCTAATTTGCTAAAGAGCTTTTTTCCATTATAGGATACCAAAGAGCTTCTAGCTATATAACTAGGTTGCTACATCAGATTTTGGTCAAAGAAAGATTTCCAATGATACTGAATTACTAGTACATAATTTATTACACTCCTAAATAAGCGCCAATTTAAGGATAAATATCCAACCATATGACTAGGAAGAGTTTCCTCTAGTTATTTCTTGAATTGCACTATAAATTGGCAAGCTACAATGTAATACAGAAGTGCAAACTAAGGGCCAAATCCTGCAAATGGGTGTTTACAAGTTCAGGCCCTAGTAGTATAATAAAGGGTTACTAGCATATTTGTGTACTGTGATATCTTTAAGACTGGTTGATTACATCTGTGATTTTGATATTTGGAATTGTACATCTTGCACAACTGTAGATTTTGTAATCAGATATTTTCAAGTTAAGATTCGCTCCTCTCAGACTTCTGTGAAATTACATTTTGACTTTTTGAACACATTTGTTTTCATTATCATAGCAGACCTCCAAAATATTCAATGCCCTGTTTATTTTAACCACTAATAGTCTTGTCAGCAAAATACACTTATTTTAATATTGCATGATGCAATTCCCACGAAGACAAGAACTATGATTTTATCATTACTATTTGTATTATGGTAGCACCTAGAAGCCCCAATTAAAATCATGGCCTCATTATGCTAGACTGTACAACCACATTTTAGAGGTTACAAAATAAAGTACACAGGAAATGAGCTGTAAGTGTATGAGCATAGCAAGGTAAAAACTCGCCAAATAACAACCTGAATGTTTACACAAGCAAGGCTACCCACAAAATGAGACACTCACCCTGACACGTGTGCTGGCCTCACTTGCAGTTCCCAGCATATCAGAAAAGCGTTGTTCACACAAGTGTAACAACACTACAAGGTAGAGACCAGAGCTGATAAATTCATAGTCTGCCTTGAAGGGGACAGGAGAAAAATTCAACAATGAAAAGCATACCAGTGCCAAGGTTCAATGGTAGTATGCCGAGGGATGATAACAGATGCAGAGGCTTTAAAATATCTCCTACTACATTTCTGATCTTAGTGCTTCAAGTAGTTATGAAATCATAACTAAAAACTGATTAGGCCTGATCAAGACTCTTATTCATGAAAATAGATTTTACTCCCACAAGAACTTCCACTGAAGTCAATGGGAGTAGTTCATGAGCCAAGATTTGAGGATCAGGACTTTTTATGGCTAAGCAGTCTTTTTCATAGATCCCAAAACTATCAGCTCATTTCAGTGCTGAACAGCAGAAAGCAAAATGCCCTCTAACCTCTCTTCTCTCAACTGGAGAGAGCCATGGAAAGATAACAGGAAAAATGTATGCAACTTCATCCAGTAAAAAAAGGGGGGGGGGGGGAGAAGAGGAGGAGGAAAGGAAACTAACTTTCCAATAGTTAATGATTAATGGCAGAGAAAATAAAGTTTTAAAGTAGGGTAATACAAAAGAACTTGAAATGACTAGTGTAGCAATTACTGGCCCAACTTCTGTTGGTGAGAAAAACAAGCTTGAAAGCTGTCTCTCTCTCACCAACAGAAGATGGTCCAATAAAAGATACTATCTCACCTACTTTGTCTCTCTAATCTCCTGGGACTGACAAGACTATAACTACACTGCATACAATAGTGTTGCAATTTTTATTTTATTTTTTTTTAAACTAAGAGTCAGTTCCTTAGGAACGAATTGCAAATCCCATACTCCCACCAGTGAGCAATTACTCCAGGTGTAGTCCCATTGATTTCAACTATACTAGTTCTGTGAGTATCTGCTAACCGATGCAAGTAGTACGTTCATGATCTGGCCCCAAGTGACTGGATTCTTATCGTTAAAAGATTAATTGTTTTTTCCGTCTTGGACACCCACATAGGTGCCTAGGTTGAGAGCTGATTCAGAGTACACATAATGCAAACCTTAGCTTTCAACTTCCTTGTTATGAATAAATTGGGTCACGTCCTCCTTATTTAACAATTACATTTAAATTTCCAATCTGGAATTTCAGTTATTTCAACTTATCAATATTATTCACATAACTGAGGTTGTACTGTATTCACAAAGGTAAAGTACCAAGCTAAAAGCATAGGAAAAACCTCTGAACAACATTTTGTACTCTCTCAGTAGCCATCTGTAGGATACATATGTGTCTAGTAATCAAAAAATACACTATATGCACTCAAAAAGTGTATTAGAAATAACTGAAAAAAGGAAGATAGTGTTTCTTTTTAAGTAAGCTGATATCTTAAGCAGTGAGTGACTATTTCAGGGCCTCATTTTTGTTTTTGTCTAGGTGGGGCAAGCAGCAGGATAGCAAATTTTAGGGGGAAATTTTTCAGTTTGTTTACCAGTCTAATTAGAAGAGATTGTGGAGTTGTAAGGAGTTTTTATCACACCTGCAATGTGGACATTTAAGTATGCAGAAAGCTAGACTACCACCTTGAATCCATCTGGAATATGATCCTAGGTTCGTACCAGTATTTCTAGGTTCATATAATCTTATTTCAGAGACATCAAGTAGAGTTAACTGCTAAAAACAGACAGACTACAAGGTGGAGAGAAATTATATCACTACTAGGGACTATGTAGAGAATCTGCATCCAATTCTCATTTCTTTTGCTCCACTTAGACAGGGGACAGAACATGGCCTAAAAACATTTATATTATGTACATGGTATCTGACCAATTTCTCTTTTTAAAAAAAACCCCAAACAAAAAAACCAAAAAACCAAACTTCCAGCACTAGACTGACACTTACCAAATTAGGCAAAATATACTAACTTGTTCATTTGCATGTGCCCTATAGAGTTCATGAATATCAAAATCCTCAAGATTAAGATTCAACTTCTCTTTACACAGCTCACAGGTAGTTACTGCTTCCAAAGAAGAACCTGATGGAAACAAAACAAGAAAGTAAGATCATATATTCAAGGCTAGATGTTATGGTCTAAGTGATTGACTCAATTTTATTTTACATAGCAAGATTAAACAAAAAGGCAGTATGACAGCAAGTGTTGAAGTCACTGTAGGGAACATCTGTTATGATTTAACAATAGACTTTTTTGTCAAAGTTTAGTTGTTTTATATCTTATGCGCCTCTATGACAGTTCAGCAAAACCCCAAAACCACTTTTAATCTCAATGCCATCCACATATATAGGCCAATACCTAAAAGCAGCATAAAACTGTTAAGTGCTGAAGTTTTTTAATGAACAGAGATTTTTTGGACTGCAATACCAGCTTTTAAAGATGTGGACTGCCCATTTTCTGAAAGATTTCCCAAATTTTCCACTTTCACGTGCTATGCAGCTGAACAACTAGTTTAAAACTATGGCTATTATGAATAATGTTAGTATTCCTTAAAACAAGGCATTCATTTGAGCAGATTTGATGCCACTAAGGAATGCTAAGGTTCCACAATACTTATAACTCTGCCATACTGTACCTTGTTATAAAGTCATTATAATTAAAAAGTTATAGAATCATAGATTACAGATGGAAGAGACCCAGGAGGTCATATAGTTCAACCCCCTGCTCAAAACAGAACCAACCCCAACTAAATCATCCTAGCTAAGGTTTTGTCAAGCTGGGCCTTTAAAACCTCTAAGGATAGAGATTCCACCACCTCCCTAGGTAACCTATTCCAATGCTTCACCACCCTCCTAGTGAAATAGTGTTTCCTAATATCCAACCTCACTGCAACTTGACACCATTGCTCCTTGTTCTGTCATTTGCCACCACTGAGAACAGCCTAGCCCCAACCTCTGTGGAATCCCCTTCAGGTAGTTGAAGGCTGCTATCAAAGCCTCCCCTCACTCTTCTCTTCTGCAGACTAAATAAGCCCAGTTCCCTCAGCCTCTCCTCAGAAATCATGTGCCCCAGCCCTATCATTTTCGTTGCCCTCCACTGGACTCTCTCCAATTTTTCCACATCTTTTCTGTAGTGTGGGGGCCAAAACTGGACACAGTACTCCAGATGTGGCCTCACCAGTGCTGAATAGAGGGGAATAATCATTTTCCTTGATCTGCTGGCAACGCTCCTACTAATGCAGCTCAATATGCCATTAGCCTTCTTGGCAACAACAGCACACTGTTGACTCATATCCAGCTTCTCATCCACTGTAATCCCGAGGTCCTTTTTCATAGAACTGCCACTTAACCAGTCGGTCCCCTGCCTGTAGCAGTGCATGGGATTCCGTCCTAAGTGCAGGACTCTCCACTTGTCCTTGTTGAACCTCAGATTTCTTTTGGCCCAATCCTCCAATTTGTCTAGGTCACTCCAGACCCTATCCCTACCCTCCAGCATATCTACCTCTCCCCCCAACTTAGCATATATACTACTGAAGAAATGATCAAAATGTAAGGTATTTTAACAAATAAAAAAAATACACAGTAGAGTATTTATACCATCTTACTAGTAAATCCCAGCAACACCAGAAATTGAATCAGAAATCCCGAAGTATTTTGGGATACTTTGAAAATTACATGTATAAAGACAAACTAGGATTGCCAGGTATACCTTTCAGAATTTTCATGCTTCTCTTGGTTTGTATCCAACTGTTTTGCACATTTAACAAATCAAATGACCTTCCAAGATTGTAGGATTTTTACTGCAATAGTTAGTCATTCCAACAACACACCTTTCATTTAATCTGGAAAAGACCTTGTTCTAAAAAAGGTCTACCTTACCAGAATTAATCTTGGACTGCAGCCATTTTTTCATGCATTCCTGATGAACATATTGCAGACTTCCAGTGCATTTGCATGGCTCTATTAAGAGGTTGGTAGAAGATGCAGATGACATCTGGCAGATTCTACATAAGTCACCTTCCTCCTCTTCAGTGTCCTCTAACAGGAGGCTGAGTAGGAAGAAAGCAGTTTTTTCAAATAGAGGTGGAAGTTACACGTGTATGGCATTTTTTTTCCAAACTTTAATCCCTTTGACAAATAGTTCTCAAACCTGAAAAAGTTTAAAACAAGTTTGTTTGAAGATAGTGACATTGTAGGTGCCACAGAATTGAGCTGCAACTATCTCAAAATAAGAGGCCCCTTTAAATAACTTTAAAGAAAAGTCTCATTAAGTCTATTAACCCATTTAGATGTTTTATTGACTGGGAATATATTGATTTACCTCTCTTTAATTTTCTGGAGTTTTTCAGGATCTCTTGAAGGTAATACTTTAGATTTGTCACTTTCTTCTCCATCTGGTTGATTCCAACCTGAGGGAATAATATCTACCGTTATCATAACATTGTCAGATATGCTGCTCCCTAATGCTGGAGGTACTGCAAACCGGAATAAAGATCCGGGAAGAATTCCTGATATTCCAGAATTTCTTCTACTGTGAGCTGAATCTGGTGTGGAAGCAGTAGTTGTAGGACTGCTAGATACTGCTGGTGTTGGTGGTCTGTTGGCAGCAGCCCCAGGGGAGCTGTTCTGTGCTTCAAGTGGAGTCTCTTCGCTAGACTCTCTTCTCCTAAAGAGGTGTAGTGATCTAGCAGGTGTGTCAGAGGTAGAGGTTCTTGCAGATTCATCTCTTCCTTCTCGCCTTCTTCTGGAGAAGAGAGGTGTACATCTATTTCTTAGAGATGATGATAACCAGGATCCTGTATTTCTACTTTCAGACTCTTGTCTGTAACTTTCAGGATCTGAATCAGAACTATGATTCTGTGAAACACCTGATAAACCCCATCTTCGTCTAAGGAAGCTAAATCCCTGAGAAGCTTCAGGTGTCTGAATGCCTGGAACTTCAGGACGTGCAGTTGCATTAGTGCTAGATTGGGTAGAAGTTTGAACTCTTGGGACAATACATGAATCTTCAGAATCTGATGATCTTGCATTTAATGAGTCTTGGCTAGACCTCCGTGAGAAAAATGTAGATGACATACTAGAAGCTAAACGAGATAGTAATTGTCTAGTTGTACGCCTTCCTTCAGTATCTGCTGGAGGCTCACTGAGTGACCTTTGAGACGCAACCCTTTCAGTGCTGCTTATGGAAGGAATTTCATCTCTAATGGCAATGTGGGTAAACTCTGGCTGTATATTCCTTTGGGAAGATTCCATTTCCCTTGTAGAATAGTTAGATCTTGAAGAGCTCCTGCTGGAGACTCCGGAGAATAAAGATGACTCATGTTCAGAAGGCAGCTGGCGGTTCATGGATGTATTCAGCCTCAAAGTGCTCAATGAATTATCTTTTGGTCTTGCTCCTTGTGCATATGAAGAGGCAGGTCTATCCTGAAGATCTACAATAGAAGAATTGGAGAAAGCGACACAAAATGTACAGTCATTTAGAAGTTATCCAACTGAATTACAGTGAGTCTAGGGTTACGTTGTACTCATTTTTAAAGACTTTAAAGGTTGGCAAGATAGGTTGTAGACAGTCTAAACTGAGTATTGTTCTCTTAGTGAACAGGATTAGATTATTACGTAGATTCCAGATAATGCACTGGTTTCAGTTTAAGTCCACAGCAGATGCACATACCCCACAATCCTTATCTGTATTTTATTTAAACTACCACCTTATGATTCAGCATTCCTCGTGTGGAGGGATCAACTTAATGAACATTAAAATAATATATCTGTCAACTGACATTATGTAAGCACAATACTTATATTTAATAGCAAACTGCATATATAAACAGTATTCTATTTAATACCTATTCTTCAATCTCCAACCAGTTTGGGCCTTTTGAAGTAAATATTCAGATCAGTCTAAGAATTTCAGAGACAAATATAACAGTCATTAAAATATGTCGAGAATGCAAAATTTATAGATAAAGCATATTTCCTCCTCTCCCAAAATAAAGGCATTCTGATATAGTTACAGTATTTAAAAAAAGGAGTTTAACAGCTTTGTGGAATACTTAATCCCAGCTAAACCTGAAAACAAGAGACAACAGAAACTGTAGTTTCAAAAACTACTCAAAGGTTATGTGGCCACTACTGATTAAGTTTAGTAGTAGCTGCTTCAGTTAGAGATCTTTAAATGTCCTACAACTTCAACAGGAATGATAATCAGATGCAGTGAAAAGAAAAAGCATCTTGTTTAACATCTAAGTGCTCAAATAACTCCAATGCAGTAAAAAAAAAAACCCATAATTTCAATAATCCCTCAGTAAAAAATTTAGTTATACTAAGAGTAACTGTTGACTAACAAGTGTATTACTAACATTGGCTTTCATGAACAACTGACACTTTAGAAGCTATTACACTGTTCAATGGCTCAACCATCCAGTTGGCTCAGACAGGGTCATATGACTAATCATTTAGTATTATTGCTCTCAGTTGCTCAGTTTGCTATCCAGATGTCAATTGGCTTAACACAGCCATATGATCCAACCAGCCAATTAAAATGTTATTCTTGAGTCCTCTAATTTGCTGCCCTCCCTTCTCCTCCCCTGCTTTTTTTTTTTTTTTTTAATTATCCATCTGCTGCTTCTTTGGATACATGATTTCTTTAGATCCTGCAGTTTGTCTTCAGAATGTAGCCACTACAAGGACTTAACTCCCAGAGCAACTCCTTCGACATTACAGCAGCTGAACCAGGGTTCCAGTTTTATGTCTGAGCCCCAAAAGACCAGCAGCCATAGCTGAAGATAACCTTTTTTCCCCTAAGGAAGGAGGCTGGGAGAAAGTGAATCTTTTTTAAAAAGGAGGAACAGATAAGCAACCAGGTAACGAAACAAACTGCTTTGCTTGTTTTTTAAAAATTGAATTCATTAACTGGAGTCAAATGTTTCCCTGTATAGCATAGCATTATAATCCACTGCATCACATGACATTTCTGAACTCATGATACACAAGCCCTGAAACTGGAAAGAGAACTGCACAGGCAGAACCCCACAGGAAGAACCCCTTTGAAGTAAATAGCTCTCCACAGGTGCAGGAAACCTTCTAAATAGCTCTCCTTGCACAACTAGGGCCATAGCAAGGTTTCTACACTATTTAATGCTAGGCTACCACTGGCAAGGAAACAGAGATCCTTTCCTTAGGCACTAAGGCGCCCCAATCTTGCATTGTGATCTGTACATGCAGGAAGTCCCACTGACTTGAAAGAGTCTCCATGCAAGCACAGCAGACTGACTACCCACATCACAATGCAGAATTGGGGCCTATATTTTTCCTTTATTTTCTCATACCCATAAGAATGGGGATTCTGCAGAGTTTTACATGAAGACACCATTAAAGCACTGGTGTACTGGGTGTGAGAAGGATATGTGAGGAGTCTTTCCTTGGATAGGTAGGTTCTACAAAGGCCAAAACAGCTTAAATAGGAAGAAAGCCTGGCATAAGGATTATGTGGTTCTGTTAAAATACTCAAGTCCAAAGATTGCTTTGAACCCCAAAGTCATATTAGTCTGTGTTAAGTTTTTTATAAAGCCCTCTGAGGTTATAAGTAAGTGTCTCAAGCTGGTTGTATGTGCACTCCACTCGCCAACAGCTACTCACTTGTAATTTTTGTTCTGCACTTGTTTTCTCAACACATTCTACTCTTGAAAAGATGCATGGTAGAAATCTCTTGGTAGGTAAATGGTCTACATGTGAGATATGAGCTGATTCACTCAGGCAAGAGACAAGTTAGGAAAGAGGGACACAGTGTATAGATCTGTTAGTCAAATAACCTAGTTTATACTTTATTCTCCATCCACTGGGGAACACTTAAGAGGCTAAACAAATCTCTCATTGGAAAATAGGCTGAGAAGATGAAGGAGCAGAGAGGTTTGCTGAAAATTCACATCAAGGCAATAGAATGTTTCACTCAACACAGAGCTCCGTTCAACAGATCCCCGCAGCTTGGTGTAAATAGCTTGCCACTGTATCTACAGTTAAATGCATAAAAGGCATTTTCAAACCCGGATCTAGACAGAGATAACTGTTCAGCAATTAGACAGCAAGTTAAACTCTTATCTACATGTTTGACCAGTTGAGTTAATTAAATTAAGTTGAGTTAATAAAGAATTAAAGTACATTTGTTATATTTTACATGTGACATGAAACATTAAAGGAATAACAAACAAAAAGTTAAGCAAACAACCTATGCATTTGCAAGCTTTCAGCTGCATAATACATACATGCTGAAGATGTAAAGTCACCACTCCTGTGACTATAATCCACAAGACTGCTAACAGATGGATCTGTTCTCCTTTCTAGCTCTCTCCTCTCTCTCACTAGCTCAGTTCCCAGAGAACTGAGTACCACTGATGACGATCTAGGAACTTGATTATACCTCCATGAGGAATCTAAAAAACAAGAACTCTGTATAAATCCTACTGGTAGTTTAAAAATTTTAGTATCACAAAAATATCAATGCCAGTTTTACTCAAACATCTGATTTGCTTTGGTGTATTACAGTATAATTGCATTGATGCTAAAGGGGCTTCTTAAAACTTGTTTTCTCAGAACACATTCTCAGCCCATGAGTAATTAAAAATTGAACTGCTCTGCTCACAGTACAAAAAAAGTTCTATTTTTAAATGGCAAGTGTTTTTCAATTTTATTTTTTGTAAATTTTTTTTTTTGTAACTGCTTCAGCATCTAAGCAGGAGTTAGGTATTTCAGATTTGGTAAGAACAAGTGTGCTTCTTCAGTGGCTCTCTTAAAACATTGGTTATACACCTCTACCCCAATAGAACGCTGTCCTTGGGAGCCAAAAAAAAAAAATCTTACTGCATTATAGGTTATATTGAACATGCTTTGATCTACCAGAGCACGCAGCCCCACCCGCCCGGAGCGCTGCTTTACTGCATTATATCTGAATTCGTGTTATATCGAGGTAGAGGTGTACTATTTCGGAATTAAATACAATTTAACACACATATTACTTCAGTCTGAGGACCAGCCAAATAAAAAAAAAAAGCAAGGATCAAATATTCCTTTAGACATTTAATGTTGCTTTATTATGAGTAGCTATTTCAGTAAATACACAGAATATTTTTCTGAAGCTGCATTACAAACATACATGCTGCAAAGCATCAATAACGTACAAAGGGAGCCTTAGCCTTCTCCATTTTATGTTTTATGTCGCCAGTCAGGAGTTTTCAAATGAGGGCACCAGCCCATTCATCTGAAAGCAAATCAGTGTAGTAATAGTCTCAATCCTGTGGACAAAACTCCAGATTACAATGGACATTTCTATGTGCAAAGGGGTTTGTAAGATCAGAATCTGTAATCACTTATGGTTTCCTGCGGTTCCCACCTGACCACAGAAAGCAGAGATGGTCAATGATGCCATGGTTTGTACTGAATATACAATGTATTATCAAAGTGGAGGTAGGTAGGAAGGTAGTGGAATCCAACCATTTGTCAAATTGCCAGTGTTCTCAGATTTTGAAGAGTGTTTAGCTGGACATAAGGTTATAAATACAGGTCTGTATACAAGAAGGAAGTCTTGACAGAACATTTTCATTGTGTTTAACACTGGATTTTTCTTAAAGTTATAAGCTTATAACAATCCTACCCAGACCCACAATCCTAAAATACTGCAAAGTATGGCAAAACCACTCAAGTACCCCAAGCCAATTTAACTCTGCCCCATTATTCTATCCTATGTAAGGTAAGTGTGATACGCCAAGCCTCTGATACCTTGGTGGTTTGGCCAGGATCCCTGGTTTCTGTGGCCTTCTTAAAATCCATACTATCACTTCTCACTTGTGGCTGAAGCCACCTTAAAATCACATCCATCTTGGATTAAGTTGTATAACCTTGGATGTGGACACCAGCTAATGTTTCTATAGCTGCTAGGAACCAAAGCACTGAAGACAGCAACAGGGAATATACACGGTTTTAAAATGACTCCATGTCTGACATGACAGAAGTATACTGGGAAGATGAGAAACTACATTTCACTTTAGCCTTTATATGAAGAGTAAGAGGAGAACTCTTGGTACCGCAGTCTTCTCAAAGCAGAGTGAATAGAAGGGTCAATGGCATACATGTATTATTATGATTTGAGGGTAATCTTATTAATGTCTGATAGGATGCTGTGAAGCATCCTATTCATAATCAGTTCTGAAGATATGCAAATATTCTGAATAGAGAGGGCAGGATTAGAAGACCATACCTAAGGTAGTCTGTGGTATTTTCATAACTTTCTCATTTTTTTTTTAAATTTACCTTCAACTTTAGTTTTAGCTTCTACACTTAAACTGAGTATTTAATTCTATTCCCACCCCATGGACACACATTCTAGACACATATTTACAACCTTAACTCCAGCAGTAGTTAGATTAAACATTCTCTTAAGAATCTAAAACCATATCAGCTCAATGTTGTCTAATATTGTCTTGAAAGCTCTGTTGTCAAGATGGCCACCTTTAGCCCATGGTTTAATTAAAAAAAAAAAAAATCTGCTTCCAGCTCCACCTCTGCCCATAGTATTTTGGCCAGCTGGGGTATTCAGGGCTATGTGAAAGGCATAGCTAGGATACAGGGAAGAATTTGCTCTCATGTGCCCTACTGCTCTTGTGTACCTATTAAATTTTGGTTCCAAACTGCATCAGTAAACAGCTGCAGACTTTCTTCCTTAGGACTCTGACATTTGGTTACCTTAGTCACTCCATTCACCTTTAAATAGGAATGTTTTCTACTAAAAAAAGTGATTTTAATAAAGTGGTCTCTTCAAAACACTAAGTTAATATTTTCCTAGACACTGATAAGGATACCAAAATTGTGAAAACAGTTTGTTTCTGCTGTTTAAAGTTTATTTTGAATATCTAAGTATTTAAAGCCTCAGTATTTATCAGCAGATATTTACAACAACTTGGTAAAAGCTTGCTGTTCAGAACTACATTTAATACATCTTATTTAGCACTAGTAATAAAGACATCTCTTACCTGAAACTGCATTTAAGCCATTACTTCTCACAGAAGAGGTAGATGCATAGGAAAGCTTAGGTCTCTTTGAATCACTATCCCGCTGCTGGTTATGTAGTCTTGAGTATGCTCCCTGACTTCTCTCAGATTCACCATACCAAGTAGATGAAAGAGGAGACGAGGAGGATGTAGACTGAGTGTTTATATATATAAAAAAAAAGAAGTTATGGAAAGTAATTTCACTTAAACTTTTTACCTGTAAAAAAAACAAGCTTTTCAACTACCTACCTATATATGGCTAGAACCAGCTTGGTAAAGTCAGCAAGACAATTTGCATTGCCTAATTTGCTTATAAAAACAATGTGGAAAAGATCCACAGGCGTGCTATAGAAAAGCTGCTAAGTTACCTCACAGTAAGCATGACTTGGTTAAACAGTTAAAAGGATTTAGTAAAAATAGTCCTTTAGCTGTATTTTAGGACTTATGCCAGTAGCCTTGATTAGCTTCTCCTTTCCCCCCCACCCCCCAACCTCTCCTTCCAACCCCAGGGTTTAATCAGTTTTTCTTAAGGAACTCTCTTCCCCATTACACTGTTTTGTAACACTGAAAAGCATTTCCCTCTGATATGCAGAACACTGTCACTAAGCCATGTTTGAATACATGAAGGTGTCACAGCACTGATTTTTTTCCATATTGTCTACATTTTTGAAGAGACAGTAAAGATAATAGCCTTTACAGTTCACAAATAGCTTTAACTGCTCAATTCCATCTTTTAATGCTCATTTTATTAAATATTCTTGATATATATTTTCCCCAAATTATTCTATCATCTGTTTTAGCAACCTAAAGTTATAGGTTTGGCTAGCTATTAAATCTCTTGCTTCTGAAGACTATGGATAAAATGTATGTTATAACTTCTTACAGTCAACACTGAACTGCAAGTTATACGATCAGCAGTAGACCACAATTGACTGCTAGTTAGGAGACAGAATTATAAAATTATTAGGGCTAATAATATTATTATTAGAGGAAATGAGGCATACATGTATAGTTTTACTAAGATTTGTGTAACCAGAACAAAAAAAATAACTTCATGCATCAGTCAGTTACAGCTTGCCTTGATACTTCACCTTCCTGTCCTATTACTGCAGATCCTTCCTATAAATCACAATTCAAATTTATTTGAAGAGAGTTAAGGAAAAGCTTAATTTTTTATGTAGGGTTTATGCAAAGCAGCTGCTTTTACTTTTTATGACTGGGAGCTGTACTAGACATTTTTCCTCCCTGCCATTTAAAAAATAAATAAATAATATAGAAACTAGCTTCCCAAACCAAAGTACAAAACAAGACTCGTAACCCTGTTTAGCAATCACACACATTGAGCAATGAAGCTAACCTAAAAGCAACAATTTCAGAAAGTACTGTGTGGTGCAACATCCCTTTGCATTGCAGCTCAAAAGTCACTTTAGGGGAAAAAAATTAATTTATGGGGGGTGGGGGGAGAGAGAACCCCAAAAACATACCAGTTTGAAAAGCCTGCAGTGCCTACTACCTACCGGGACAGGCCTTTGAGAAGCAGAGGCACAGCTTGTACTTCAACTACATGCACACCAGGACTTCCCCTGAAGGTTGGCAGCCCCACACCATTTGTTTTCTCACCCACACTCTGCCTACCTTCAACTTTTAAGTTGGTGTAAGAAACCTGTTTAGACTGTATGTTCTCTCTTGGCAAAGTTTCCAAATATCTCCCTATATTAAGAGGTCACAGACCTTTCCATGGCTTGCCCAGTGTTCTGTCTTACTACTAATTTTTTTTAAACATTTGTTGACTTCAGTATTGTGCATAAAATGTCATAAATAGCAAGCTTCAATTCTGTGTGGGGACCAGACCCAGATGAAGGCAGACATTTTAGGCCCCAGTTCCTGGAGTCACAAAATATTAAAATTTCAGCTTCCATTTTAAAATTATGCAACCATGAGGGTCAAAGTAACTTGAAAACATGATCAGGGTGTAACAGATGCCTGTCTGAACCAGCAAGCAACCTAAAACAAGAGTTCCCCTTATTCATCTTAACTCTTAACTATTGCCTCACTCCTAGAAGGCGTGGAGCCATGGGAGTGCCATAGTGTTAGTTTGGGCATGGGTGGGGCCACAATATGCATTTAAGAGTCAAGTAATCACCGCCGTCTTTCCCCCTTTATGCATACAACTGCTTTAAATTTTAAAATGGAGGATTTGCAGAGCTATGTCCCCTTCAAATTTATATTTAACTATTTGTAAGGCAATATTTATGTCACAGAAACCGTGCCTTCCAGAGACCTCTGACATTTTTTGCTTCAGCCCCTGGGGCCGTGGGACTAGAGCTGGCAGCCAGCAGGGCCCCAGCAACAGGGCAACAGCCTTCTCACGGTCCCCCTGTGGGGTCCTGCGACAGGCAACAGCCTCCTCCAGGTTCCAATGACAGAGGACAGTCTCACATGTGGGGAGGACAGGAGAAACCATGGAGCTGCAGCAGCAAACATCACAGACAGGTCACTGCTTTCGTGAATTTGTGTTTATTGCCCCTAACCTTTCTGGGACTTTTACATAAAATAACCATGACAAAATCGTAGCCTTAACTATTTGTAAACTAATCTAAAATAAATCTAATTCAAGGAATTCTTTATAATTGCTGTATAAATGTCTGTTAACAACTTCGGTCCCCTTCTTTCCCTTCCTCCCCCTCACTGTTAACTTGACTGAGTCTATCAAACTTATTTTAAACAACATAGCAGGGGATTCCTACTAGCAGGTTTTTCGACCTGGAAGATTTGTAAGTAAAACCTCTGTTCCCCATATATTTTATATATTAGCAAGTCTCACCAATCTGCTTCTGCTTCCCAAAAATCTTCCAGACCATGGACGATCAAGTGTCCCCGAGTAGCGAGTTGGAGAGGAACTAGAAAGCTTCCAAGGAGTTTCATGAGCTTCTCCTCTTTCTCTAATTCCCCAGTCTCTACTGGAACTATGCAACAGATTGGATTCCTAGAGAACAACATGCATATTACATGTAATTTTAAATCAAGGTGGCGTTTTTAGTCATGCTCTGAAGACTGAATACCTATTAAGATGGTGGCACCAAGAGTCAGGAATTTCAAAATTAAAGCAGGCACTCTATCTTTAAGTGTTTTGGACTTAAGATATGGGCGATATCAATTCTTAGATCTAAGCAAAGATGTGGGCTGTTTTGTTTTCTTAGTGGTTTTTTTTTTGGGGGGGGGGGGAGGTAGAGAATTAGCTTCTCTCTTTTCTGCTGCCTCAGATTCCTCCCTGACATTAAGCTGTTAATGGATTTTTATACTGAGAGGAGAGAAGCAAGGACCCAATCCTTTTGCTGGAAGATCTGAATAGTTGTCACACATGCAGCTGTAACCCAAACTGTAGAACTCTGTCAGTTTACGGAAGCTGAAGTCTCTATATCCCCTCCTATTATTTGAGGGTAGGAAAGAGGAACTTTTAAGTTCAGGTTTCCTGTGGTGTGATACCACTACTCCGATTCTACAGCAATGAGGCAGAAATGTAAAAAAAAAATTGTTCATAAAAAAAACAAAAACACACCCCTCCCCCACCCCTTAGGACACAGACCATCTTTCTACACCAAAGCAGTAGTAGAGGGCAAAACTACATTTGTTTGGTTCACCTTAACACTGAACAGGATGAAGAATTACATTTTTGCCATCCTCTAGAGCAGCACTCTGATGAAAAGAAATCCTGTCCTAACAAAACAGATGAAACGAGGGAGGGCAGTTTGTCAACTAAATTGGTAATGTGGCTTATTAGCAAAGTAAACCAATGCTGTTACTGTAAGAACGTTTCACATAACATCTTCGTAAAATTCACTTTGTTCTTAAGTGTTCTTGTTTCTTTACAGGCCACAACCATTTTCCTATTCTGCTGCCTCTCTTCTCCTTACTCCTCTGATATGTTCCCAAAAAATATATTCTACAGACGCGTAAAGGATAGGATCCTGACTCTCCATCCCCTTGCTCAGGGAGTACATTAGGAAAGTTTCACTTTGTAGGTCTGCTACACAACTTCTAGCGTAATTACATGCAGCCCTACCAGAGAAGGCCTACAAAGCACAGGGCCATATGGAAACAAAACATAGCAATCACTGGGGGGGGGTTGGGGGTGTTACTTTAAGAAAAAATTGTTTAGTAGTTGGGTATCTATGTAGCTGACTCAGACATTGTGCAACAGCACTGAAATTATAAATAGCTATTTTGGCATGCATATTAAAGACAGTTCTGTATGGGAGCTTTGCAAAATACTGCTGGCTGACTAACTTCTGTACAAAATGTTCTTCGAATTGCTGGAAAAGTTTAGTGTATGGCAGTAGCTGCAACTAATTTGACTTTTGTATTTCCATTCTCCCAACACATCCAAAGGCTGCAGTTCATATTCTAGACAAATAGGGAAGTTAACAGTAATAGGATTGGAACATCACACTTCTGGAGAAAATTACAAAATACAAAAATTACAAAATCTTTGTATCTCTAGGTGCTCTGATCAACTAGTACAGAGAAAGTTTTAACATTGTTGACATTCTTGAGGTTCCATATCAGCATTACTTAAGAGGCAACTTCCAATAAATTCAGTAGGAGTAAAGTCAAATGGCATTTCTAATGACACCTGAAATTCTATTTATATGGAAAGACAGCTGTTTTTTTCAAGTGAGGCACAGTATGAAAGTTAACTTCATGCTACGGAGTTAAATTCCATGTCTATGTCTTTATTAAGTTACTCCTTCTAAAAGTTATCTATAATTAATGTATTACATATGGGAATAAACAAGGTTTATTAGCTTTTCTTTAAGATCCACTTTGACTAAATTGGTTCCCACAATGGCTATGGGAAGCTTAAAATATTTTAGATACTCCTTTTGCGATAAGCTTCTGGAATCACTGTTTCTAAAACACTTAAATTTCAAAATTAAGTTTTTTAAATCTTAAACGGTTCTCATCACTAGGAAATTCAGGCATTATCCAACTTTAAGATACAGCTGTGCTTTTGTTTTGTAAAAGCAATCAGTTACATGTGTTCATAACTTCCACTGAGGTGTGTCACTTGCAGCATTGTAGAGGCTTGCAATATTTTTCTTTATTCTCCAGCCACTAAAAACCTGAGAATTTTGGCTTTCATTTTAAAAGATTTCTAGTCCCCGTGCTTCATACAAACTCTTGAAAATATGACCCCAGTGAACCAGAATGGCTCAGAAACCAGAACATAATGGGAAAGTTCTGGTTTTTAAATCTCATAATTTTTAAGCCACTTTGAGATCCAACTTGTGACTTTTTCAGCACTGGAGGGTAGCAATACTACATTTGGGACTGAAATTTTCCATGCTTGATCTCTGTCCAAAGGTAGAGACTGGATGTGTTTACAATTTTGCAAAAGAAAGCAGAATACCCCTTTACAACTGTTTAAGCACAATCTCACGGCTAAATCTTAGAAAATGTTTTTCAAGATTGGAGTGTGTATTTAAGGGTTCTTTAAAGTCTTAGTTTATTTTTTCCTAAATTTTAAGAACTCCCATTAAAGGGTTTTTGCTCAGTATAGTAGGAGAGACACTGGAATTTTAGTTTTTTTAAAAAATCAGAAATTGTTACATTACCAAAACCAGAAGTTGCAGTTTCTCTTATGTTCCCACTTAAGTTTATATACTGCTGGTGTAAATGACACACAGCACTTATTTTATGGTGCTGAACAAACAGTCCCACCCTAGAGTTTCACACATACTATGCAGTCCAAAACAAACTGAATGGTGAGTGAGTAAAGCAGAAACACTACATAAAAAGGTGGTGGTTTTTTAGAATAACTAACCAAAGAAAGTGAGGTTTTAGTAGGCCCTAAAAAGCAGCACAAAAATCAGAGTGTCCTTGTCAAAAAAGAGCAGCTCCCAGAAACTCCCAGTTTAATTAAATCTTACTTGTGGGAAAGGAAGGTGATAATTTAAGATTTTTGCTAGCAAGTTTCACAAAACTTTTGGAAGGTTTATAGAATAGAAAACCAAAAAAGCTTGCATTTATAATGCTCTTACTTTTAGAACTCTAAACCATGTAATACTGACACTTACTGTGACGACGTGGTGTTTTATTCACCTTATGTTGCATGAGTGTCTTACTGTCCTATTCGAATACTGTGCGTACCTCCATTTCCCTATGTACTGTGACAGTATTTCAGTGGTGGGAATCGGGTTGCCCAGGAAGCAGGACAAAGAGGAGTAGCAACAGGGTGTCGCAGGTCCAATCACTGGTAGCTTGGTAGTCTGCTTGGGGGGGGACTGAAAGAGGGGGAGTCCAGGCCATCTGGCCCAGGACTCCCCATGGACTTGGCTGAAAGTCAACAATTTCTGTGTTAGCAAGTTCTGTTCTACTCTGTGTTCCTGTCAACTAATAAACCCTTCTGTTCTACTTACTGGCTGAGAATCACTGCTGACTGCAGGAGTTGAGGTGCAGGGCCCTCTGGCTTTCCCAAGAGCCCCACCCAGACAGACTTGCTGCAGGAAGCGCACAGAGAGGAAGCGGATGCTGAATGCTCCAAGGTCCAACCCAGGAAGGTTGAAGCTGTGTAAGCTTCTTGCCCTGGTGACAATATGCTCAGAGAGAGGAGGCATGCTACACCAGAGTCCTGACTGGCTTCATATGGAGTAGTTCCAGAGCATTGGCCCGGTGACTCTGTGACACTTACGTGACACAAAGAGAGCATTTACTACTGTCAAATTATTTCTACTCTTCCTCAGATGGTTGGAGGATACAAATGCATCTTTGTTTGGCTTGACTTTTAGCCTGTTAACCATGTCACGCCTATAGGCGGTTAATGTCTGATTTAGTTCCAAGCATAAAATCCATTTGAAATCTTGGGAAAACTATAGTACCTAGATGGATGGTCTTAAGTTATTGGCTACTCCCATTAAAATTTACACTGTACCAATTTTTTCATTTCTGATTTGTTCTGCCTTTGAAAGTTAGTTTTCCTATTAGGAGGTAAGCTTTTCAATTATGAATGCTCTTTAGTTTTGAGAAGATTTTGTATGTGGGTGTATTTTTCTTCCATATCATTACCTGGTATCTACTTGTTTATAAACAAGAACAACACACACACAACACACTGCACCCCATTTTGAAGGTAATTATTATGCAACTGCAGCAGCTCTTAGTGATATTTTGTTTGTCAGGTTTCAGACTCAATCTTGAAGTGACAAAAACCTGTCAGTTCTATTCTTATGTGTGTATATTTATTACTTATTCAGGATGAGCTGGCTCAGTTTGCCTGGTCACTTGAAATCTGTACCTGTAGCAACACTGGAATCTGCTCCTAAAATTTCTTAAGACAGCTGAGATCACATGAGAAGAGACAAATTGTTCTCAGAGATAGTTTGGCTCTATATCTAAGTACCAACACATGAAGTCTGTGATAAGTTTCATTGACACTCGGTGTGAAATTCTTACAATGCAGATTTTGCAACTAGATTCCAGACCTTAGAGTGTTATGAGGAGATCAAGAGTGATATTCCAATTTAACCAGGGAAAGGGCAAAATGGAATTGGTCATTGCTAAGACTTTATTTCTAAACAAATTAAACAGTCAGAAACATTAACATTTTTACAGCGCCATATGAATACTAATAAAATGGTTCTACATGTAGAGAAGTATGCATCATCCCTATTTTAAGAGGAAGTTAGACTTAAGTGATTTATCCATTGCTATGTAATGAATTGGTATAGCTAGCAGCAGAACTCAGGAGTTCTAACCTTATTATGAGTGAGCATGTTGAAAATGTTCTAACCTCTGCCTAAGCCATCCTCTGCATCCAATAGGCCTGGAAAGTCATGTATTCAAGACACAGGAATGTAGGCAAGATCCATGACTATATACCTACTGAGCAATACATGATAACTTGAATGATCTAGTACTCAGAAAATTAAATCCAAGAAACGGCTTATGTAACACAATGCTCCTGGATGGACTGTCAGCAGTGACTGAACATCTGACTTCTGGATTCTGGAGCTTGAGCCTATGCTAAAAGGCATGCTTTCTTAGTTTGAATGTTGGAGCAGATTCAGACTTATGTGACCCAGTTACTCAAGGAGCAAAGAGCCAAGTGTTGTTGCTTAGGGGTTCAGATCCCAAGTGACCAGGGGAAATGAGCCAGCTAGCCTTGAATAAGCATCTGTTCTCTTGTTTACACCCAAGAAAGTTTAACATGTTAAGGAATTTAATCTCCACTAACTGTGCTACTTTTAAACACCATAAATCATGGCCTGCAGGATTTAATTTCTTGAATAAATTAGTATTGCTTCCCCCGTCCTCCCGCAAGCAATTTGCTTAAGGAATTTGTGTAAAAAAAATTCCAACACTAACCCTCTACCTGTGATATTTAATACTAATTAGATGTGTTCCTATATAAGCCTATATAAGTTTCTGCAAAATGCGTCAGTCACAAATAAGCTACTGCAAATTAAGAATGTAAAGTCCTGAATCCTTCCAGCTCCTTCTTGTATATGATGTCGTCTTTCAGAGTAAGAAAGACTGACTAAAAGTAGCTTCAGAGAGCTTCTATTTATAGAGTCTTAATGCTGCTAAATTACCAAAAAGGTAAGATGAAGCAAAACAAACCACACTTTTGTCTCCTTCTATAGTTTCCACTATGTAAGACAATGCCTCCACTTCAATTTAAACCAAAACATCTTAAGAACAGTGCTAGGACAGATATATTACACTACAAACTCTAAACTTTGAGGATAATTTAATAGAGATGTGTAGAGGAGGGCTGTAACTTCTGTGGACACTTGAAGGAAAAAGTCAGAATTGTCTGAAATGAGTATTTTGAAGATTTCTGGGTGAGGTGGATGAGGAGAGGAAGGGAGAAAACTAAATAAAAACTGACAATCTAAATGTTCTTTTTATGGACTGCTCCTGTAGTAAAGGAGGTCTGTTTCTTACCACATGTACACTGCCTAGCACAACAAAGACCCAAACCTTAGGGATTCCAAATGCTACAGTATAAAAATACCTACTGAGTTGTTTGGTAGTCAGGGTTGCAATACGCACACACCAAACCCATAACAAAAGAAAAGAGTTAAGCCATTCAACAGATCTACTGTTTCACCCACAGGCACACATTTTACCATTACCACAACTACTATATGCCGCTGACCACCTACCAAAACCCTAATTCTGCTTACCTTTTAACTTTCTGCACGAGCCCTTTTACCCAATTATTCCTTCCCATCAACAGCAGTTGTGGATGTTTGATGGTGTAGTTGGCTGTGTTTGGAGAGAGGAGTTTGGTAAAGGGCTGTGTGTAGAAGGCTGGGATGATACTCTGCTTCCTGCCTAGTGATGCCAGTTTAAGTGTGTGGTATATGGTAGTGGTTAGGTGTGTGCTTGTGAGTGGAATAGAGCGTATATACTGCTAGGTGGCTTAACTTTTAACTTCTTTGCTTTTCTGGGTGTCAAATATTCTGTGTGTGCAGTAACCCTATTTCACAAAGTTTGTATATTAATTTCCCAGGTTTTTAGTGCTTAATTTGGGAGGGAAGCGGACCTGTTTCTCTGGAAGCAGTGGGAGTGGTGTTCATCACTACACACTTTATCAGCACAGCAACTTTTTTCCCTTCTGTGCTTGTAGGGGGAAAAAAAAAAAATCCCCAAAAGTGTAGCTTCTAGTTGAGAAGGTTTTATGTGCATCAGGCTCTTTCAGCAACCCCATCAACCAACCTTGTGTGTACAGCACAAACTCTGGTTTAACATGAATGGCTAAAAAGGACCCTAAATCAAGTTTCTTAAAAAACACAAACAAAAAAAACAAACCACACACACACCCCACCACTCTATTCTTTGCATCAGATCCACCTGCCTCTCTAGATAAAGTTTGGTAATGTCTGAGTTAATGAAAAGTAGGACTTTAAGGAAAAACATTCAAAACCCTCATTTCAGAAACTTCCTATTTAAAAATGCATAAAGAGCAACTACACAGAAAATTAACAGGGCATCAAAAAAGCAACCCCATGTAAAATTTCACACCATTTAGCCACCTGGTTTTAGAAAACAGGGATGTATGCCTCATTATTTATCCATCTGATAAATGACATACACTTTCACACTGTCAGTCACAGCTAGCATTCTCTTTACCAACTGAAGGAAGGTTACATCAGCTGTATACCTACCTCCACATTTCCTTTTCTAGAAAAGGAGAGCATTGATGTGTTCCCCATTTGAGTTAATCACTGAAACCACTATTAGACAAGATAATGAGGATTAAACAGAAGTAAAGCCAAGCAAGTGTGGTAACAAATTTGCTGATAATAGGGAAAAGACTACTCCTATTCAAGCCAGATCATATCCCCAAAAGTGCACTTCCACAGAAAACTAGTACAGGATTACCAATTGAGCCTCGGCAGTGTGGTCCAATATACAGGTCATCAGGTTGGGAGTTAGACTTGGGATCTATTCCCTATTCTGGCATACCTGATGTTACACACCAAGCAAGTCAGTTTCCACACCTAAAGTGTTTCCCCACCTCTCTAAAGCACTGTGTGTGAATGAGTTAAGAGTACTATTAACACACAAATCTTGGTACATATTTACACTTGCAAGACTTCTTTTCTAAAAGGAATTTGGAGAATCTCTTTTGTGAATAGTGTCAAATCATTAACTGAAGTGTAACATGAAAGAACTCACTGGTCAATATCTTGCATCTAAGACTTCCCCCCCCCCCCCCAGATCTACTTATACAGGTTAATCGTTAAAGTGTTGATTTCTAGTTTACTAAACAGTCTTGTTCAAGACTGTGTGCTTAGGTTTGTGTCCCTCTGGTGTAATAAGGTAGAGCACCAATCTTGTGTGGGCCAAACAGATTCTACATATTAATACAATTTAAAGTCACCTATATTGATTTATATTTTAAGTTCAGCTTGTTTCATATGTATTTAGATAAACAACTTATGTACAGTATTGTCTATACACTTGTGTAAACTAAACTCAGGTAAACATGACAAAAGGCTAATTACTCAGCTGTTCGAATATTGTGTTGAAGCACCCTGTTCTAGACACAACTCAGCCTTCTCAGACAATGTTCTAGTTAGCATCCCTTATGCTTTATCTCTAGTTCTGCTAGCATACTGGCAGAATGACTTGAAGGCATTCTCACTCCTTTATATCCCTATTCATGCCTTACAATCTTCAGACAGAACAAACAGTTAAATACAACAGATCAGGTATAGCTTATTTTTTGTGCTGTCATTTTTAGAATTGAGACATGACACCATTATCTAAAACTAAAATGCTGTGCTCTGGCAAAAGTAAAACTTATGGTCCTCACTTCCCTGTCAGACCAGAAGATCCCGATTTTACTTAAACAGACTTCCCTCAAGATCCTATACTATAATCACCATCCCGATAGACAAAGGATATGCATAGGACTCATTTAATGATGTTCCTTATTCAGCCACTGATTTAAGAGGCTACATACCAACAGTAGTGGGGAAAGATGGTAAAACAAAGTGACTCTAGGCCATTGCATGGCCGTGCAAAGCACTATCAGTAACAAGGCCGAATTTTTGCACTTATCTTGTTTGTGTGAGAAAACATGTTGAAATTCCTCCTTATATTGCCCTTGAAATTAATCTTGTTAAGAATCCTGCCCAAAAGAGGCAGATACAGATGTTACTTCTAAAAGCAAATATAAAATGACTTACCTGACATCCAGAATCCAGTCTCAGTGAAGATTCTCTTGTATGATATGCATCAGTTAAACTGCTTCCAGACAATGTTCTGGCACTTAAAGAGGAGGAACTGGAGGGTTGAACCGATATCCTTCGAGGAATCCTTGAAGGTTTAGACTCCATTCTCAGTGTTCTACGAGAGATAAAAGTTAGCTTCACCCCCCATTTTTTTTTTTTTTTTTGGTAGTATAGAATGCAACAACAGATGGGTATATGTTAAGTTTGTCATCAATACTTATTGCGCACGTGCTTTGTATAGTGATTTTAAAGCACAGGCCTGGGAACCAGGAGACCTATGGTTTAATTCTAGAATTGCCACTAACTTGCTATATGACCATAAAGTAAACTGGATCATGTTTTACCTTGGCTTTCCTTTTGTAAAAAGAGGATAATACTTCACTACTCTCTGCAGGTCTAAAAAGTGGGCTGAGAAACTCTCAGAGTAATGTACATTGCTACTACACTGGTGCAGCTCTCTTCCTTTTGCAAGTCTCTTTCAGTTCTTCTCTTCCTACCTCTATTCTGGATGGTATCCTTATAGTGACAGGTTTCAGAGTAACAGCCGTGTTAGTCTGTATTCGCAAAAAGAAAAGGAGTACTTGTGGCACCTTAGAGACTAACCAATTTATCTGAGCATGAGCTTTCGTGAGCTACAGCTCACTTCATCAGATGCATGCATCTGATGAAGTGAGCTGTAGCTCACGAAAGCTCATGCTCAGATAAATTGGTTAGTCTCTAAGGTGCCACAAGTACTCCTTTTCTTTTATCCTTATAGTGCTTTCTAAGCAGCAGCATAAAAGTGGCATGAGCTTTGTCAGTTTCTTTATGCCAGGAATGTGTACAAGGAACAAGGCCACACACACACTACTTAGGTGTGCAGAGAAAGAGGAAGATAGAGGGGCCTCATTCTGTACTACCACCTGCACTCACATCAGGGTCAAATTAAAGCAATCTGTGCCTAGGGTACTAATCCACAAGAGGGCCCCCTATCTCTCCCAAATAATGGCCCTGCCAGAATACCACCCTCCTAAGGGTAGCAGCATGCTTCTGAATTCAGATGACTGGGCACTTCACACCTCTTAGCTACTGTTTCATGCCCTTTGCAGCTTCAGACAGACATTGGGCACTCAGGTCTGTTCTACACTTAAAATGTACATCAACATAGCTCCAGCATTCAGGGGTATGAAGAAGCTACACCCCTAAGAAATGCAGCTGTGCCGATAAAACCCCTGGCGTAGATGCAGTTAGGTCAATGGAAGAATGCTTCCATTGAACTAGCTACTATCACTTGGGAAGGTAGGTTTGTCTACACTACAGACCTTCCAGCAGCACAGCTGCACCGCTGCAAGGTCTCCCATGTAGCTGCTCTGTCAGCAGGAGAGAGCTCTCCTGCCAGAATAATTAAGCCACCCGTAACAAGCAGCGGTAGCTATGTCCACAGGATATATAATGCTGTCAACACCCGAGCTTTTTGTCTGTTAAACTTTTGTTAGTCAGGGCTGGGGGTTTTCAAAAGTGTTATGAAGATAAAGCCATAGTGTTCCTACAGTGATGGAAAAAGCTCTTCCACTGCCATAGGCTGTACCTACACTACAGGATTATCCTGGCATAACTATGACATAACTATGCTGCTACAGTACCCATAGTGTAGACATGGCTTCAGTTTGCGTTTTAAAGCTTTTCCTGGCATACATGACTTGAAACTTATTCTGATTTGATAACATTTTACATCCACCAAGGGAAGAAGTTGCATGGAAATCCTGCAAACTATACTGTATTTGTCACAATAAAAGTTTCACAAAAATCTTTGGCAGAATCAGTGGCTCCCTAGATTTTGCTAGATATTTTGAATGGTAGCTTAAGACACTTAGAAAAAAGTAAACTCCTACATGGAATCATTTCATTTTCCAGTTCTAGCACTTTAGGGCTTGTCTACACATAGACAACAGGAATAAGAGTGTTAGTCTAGAATAGCTATTCTGTTTTAAATTGTCTTTACATGAAGTTATTCCAGAGTAAGTACTGTTTCAAATAGTACTATTTTAAAGCACACTGGGGAACTGTTAGTGCATACCAGCAGGGTTTATGTGAACCAGTTAAGTGTGTGACATATTTATACACTTCAGAAATCACATCCCATGTATTGTATAGACATGCTTTTATTTCAGAGTTATTCTTAATAATTCTTTCTGTATAGCTTTTCCCAAATACCTCATGATGAGCCCTTGAGTATTTTCATATTAACCAGTACAATTTAACTACCTTAAAAGCCAACACATGACTTAAAAGGATTGTTTTAAACCCAACAAAAATTAGTAATGTTATCTGAGCACAATCTGAATCTGAGCACAATTTTACATTGGGAAGGAGGAAGAAACCACCGCAAAACTGTCCCAGGGGACTTAATCTAAGTAAATGATAAATGTAACTTTAGATATTCCAAATTACCATTGCATTACAATGTTACATAATTATTCCACAAACTCTGTGGGGAAAATATACTGGTTGTCTTACCAGTGCTAAAATATATTCGACAGCTTTTTGTATAATTACTGGGTTTGACATACTTAGCTTAAATAGGCTTCCTTGGTTGACAACATTCCTCTATTCCCTGACACACTCCCTAAAGCATTTTACTAGCTACAACAATACCTACAAAATACACAGCATTGCCTTGACAAATTACATTAAAAAGGAAACCTCAACTGACAAACCATTACAGAGTTTTACTCTGGAAGGGGCACTGGGACCTTACCCAACTCCAATCTCAACAATGGCAGAAATATGACTGAACATGGATTCAAAGTAGCACACTTTTTTGCAGGTTCTAAAATCCATTTAGACACTTACGGATTAGAGAGTTGCACTGAAAACATTCAAAGTATGGGGGGGTCGGAGGAGAGAGACAGATAGCTCAGTGGTTTGAGCATTGGCCTGCTAAACCAAGGGTTGATGAGTTCAATCCTTGAGGGGGCCATTTAGGGATCTGGGGCAAAAATTGGGGATTGGTCCTGCTTTGAGTAGGGGGTTGGACTAGATGACCTCCTGAGGTCCCTTCCAACCCTGATATTCTATGATGAAAGTAGATTTGTGGTACTGAAAACAGTTTTTATAAAAAACTAAAATTTGACAAGTGTATTTTAAGTGTTCAGCCAATTAATAATTTGGTAGACTATATGCTAAAAACTAGCAATTGGATATGCACCAAAATTTAAGTGTTAGCTTTCCCGAACTTTGTTTTAGAAGCCCATAGACTGGTCTCTGAGGAAGAAGTGCTAAGTGCTTAATCCCCAGGAAGACTGATAGTTGCCGGGATCAGTTCAAAGTCCACACCAAACAAAAAGGCATGGAGCATTTGATACTTTTGTCACTACAAGTAAACTCCTAGGCCAAACCACAGCCACTGGGATGAGCCTCATAAAATGCACAGAAGTTGGGACCGTGTTCAGACAGTTTTGCAGAAGAGCCACTGCAGATTTTACTGAGAGGGATGTACTATGTTCTCAGCACAATCCCAAAAATCATTGCATATTAAAATGAATGAGAAACTAGATGAATGGTGCAAAGATCTACTACTGAATTGGCAGAGTGGTGTGCCCTTATGATGTCCAGTTCTGAAAAATATGGGGTACATCCCTAACTGAATGGACATGAAAAGATGATTTTCATGGATAACTGTTTTCCTTACCATAATAAGGTACTTTCAGTATTAGAAGTAACCTCTAGGACTGTCATAAGAAAGTGGTAAGAGATATTAAGTTTGATGAGAGTTGCTGTAGGTTCTCTAAATCCCATTGCCTCCTAAACACTTAAGTGTAGCAAAGGGGTAAAAGATGCCGTCGTTTCTCCTTCAACTCCAGTACTGGCAAGCCAAGAAGCCACTGTCTCACCCTTCTCACAATCCATCAGTGCCAGTTCACCACAAAGAAGAGATGGAGAGGATAGGGGCTGGCACTGACTTGGAGCCTCTCCAGTCATCAGCTCCAGGAAGGGAAGGAGAAAATGAACACTTCAGCTTGGTGTTTCAAGAACAATCTTTCTGCCCCACCACAGGGGGACGTGGGAGTCAGGGGACCAAGGAAAGAAGCAATGCTTATGGGTCCTGCAATTTTAGCTTGGAAGCATGTGATGAGGGGACCACTTCAGATTTTAAGTAATAGAAAATTCAAGTAATTTTTCTGGAACCGTGATAGCTAGGAAAAAGAAAAATCATGATCCAAGCACATGCTAAAGATTTAAAAACAGAAGGCAAAAATATTTCTAAAGCTACTGGGATTTTTGGAGAACCTTACTCATGACTTTTGAACACTTCGACTTTGCAGTACTGAATAGGATCAGGGTTGATGCTGGTTCATCATTGGAGTGCTAAAATCAGAAGAGAATCCGGCTGAGAGGGAAAAAACGCATTTCCCTGTGTCTTACAGCTGCCAGAGGCCCATTCTGCAGATCAGATGACCACTAAGGCCTTCCTTAACTTACACCAGTTCTGAAAGGGCCACTGCAGCACTACACAATAGAAGTGTGCATATGCCCCTTCTGCCATCAGTGTGATCCCAAAATACTTCATGTGGAGGAGATGCATACAGCCAGCATCCCTGCCTCTCTGCCTGTTAGGAAGGTCTCTGCCTCAGGAGTTTGGGGAGTGGGGTAGAAGGGAGGAAGAAGCGTCTCTTACGGATGGTTTATGTTCCCTTTGCTTTGGGATATGACCCTTCCTAAAGTTCCCTCCAGCGACTAGTTCTGGCATGGTGGGACCCACAACAAGACAATGAACAATTCCCCTTCAACAGCCATTCTGCACCCCCCTTCCCGTCTTCTGTCTTAGTGGTGGTAACGGGGAGGAGAAGGAATAATTGGGACTTCTGCACAGATATAGAATTGATTAACTCTATGAGCCCTCCCAGACCACTCAGTCCATCGGGGTCAAGTTTCCACCACAGACTCACTCAGGAAGGTGCGGCTACTCCCCCAGCCCTGTCAGGAGAGGGAACAGGGCAACTCCCTAGGCCCAGCGGAGAGAAAGGGGAGGGATCATGCCGGGAGCGAGCCTGCGCTGCTCAGCAAGCCCGACCGGGGCTGGCCTGGTGTTGGGCGCCCAGGCTGAAGCGGTTCGGAGGGCGGCACTGGCAGGGCTGATCCACACCTGGTGAGCTGGGGACAGAGGGTGTAGAAGAGTCAGAGCTGGTGGCGGAAGGGGGGCTGGTTGTTCGTGCCTCACCCCAAGCCTGGCAGGGTGGGCGGGACAGCGGGCGACAAAGAGGCTGAGTCTCTCCGGGCCAGGTAGAGACCTGGCTGCTCTGCGGCCCGGCCGGGCCTGCTCCGCCGCCACAGCCCAGAGACAAGATGGATATTACGGGCCTCAACCTCCGTCAGTGTCCCCGCGGCCAGGCAGGGGGAGCCCCACACACCGAGCCACTCCTTCTGCCCCCTACTCACCCGAGCCCGCGTCTCCTCTTGTCCCAGACACCCCCCGCTGCGGGCGGCCCAGCCGCCTCCGCCTGCAGAACTCACAATGGCGACAGCTCCGAGTCGCCAGTCATAGCCCCGCCGACGCCCCACCCCTTCTCCGGCTCTCGCGAGAACGGGCGGGAGAGGCCGTTTCGTCCGCTATGCGTCTTTTTGGCTCTATCCCCTCGCCGCATCTGGCAGCGCCGCGCCACTCGGCCGAGGAGGAAAGAGTCCCCAGCGCCGATCCCCTCCTCTCCCGTTACCACAGTCGGGGCGGCGGTTTCCAATCGATCTCCCTCCAGCCCCCTGCGTTTTATTGCTCCAAGAGATGGAGCCCAAATGCCCCTCTTCCTCCCACCCCATGGTACGCGTGATGAACGTTCAAAAGGGACGGTCCCAAACTTACTCTGCGTCCTGTCTCCCCACCGAAGACGGTATCACCGTGCTGGGGCCCAGCCCCACCTTAGTGCTGCTGTCCCTAGGGTTCAAAAGTCATGAATCAAACACCACATTATTATAATAGCCTCACGGAATTCAAACCAAACCCACGCTTTCTCTGCCCCGAGTCTTTAGGGACAAGCCATCCCAAGCCCTTGGAGGGGTGTGATTATTTCAGGTTCAAAAGTCAACCTTTAAATCACACAAATGTGGGCCTCCATGGCCTGCAGTGTAGGGAAGTTCTCTCACTCTCTGTCTTCTAGGGTTGGAGAGTTGCCACGCTGCCCTTCCCCATTCCCCCTTACCTCAACCCGCCTCCGTCTCCCTCCTCCCAGCCCGTTCCTGTTTCTCTCCCTGCCCCATCTACTTCCCAGCCCCACTTACACTCCCTCTGCATGCTCGTCCATATGTACTTGTTCCCTATGACAGGTTTCAGAGTAACAGCCGTGTTAGTCTGTATTTGCAAAAAGAAAAGGAGTACTTGTGGCACCTTAGAGACTAACCAATTTATTTGAGCATGAGCTTTCGTGAGCTACAGCTCACTTCATCGGATGGCATCCGATGAAGTGAGCTGTAGCTCACGAAAGCTCATGCTCAAATAAATTGGTTAGTCTCTAAGGTGCCACAAGTACTCCTTTTCTTGTTCCCTATATTTTCCCTTTCCTCCCACCAACTCCTGCCCCCTCATTTTGACTCTGCTTCTTTAGCACATTACATCTCCTCAGTCTCTTCCAGTCCAACAGAGCTGGTCAAATATTTCTGTAATTCAAAACTGACCAAAACCAAATTTCACAACATTTGTTTTGTTTTTCAACCAGCTCTACCGTCCAGATTCCTAAACGGAGAGCCCAGAGGGTGGCAGTATTCCCTATAGGCAGCTTGGCTTCAGTCCCGCAGCGAACAAGAGGAGAGGGCAGCACTCGTTCCTAAAGGCAGCCTCACTTCATTCCGCAAAGCTGCATGGAAACGGATGTCGTTTTAACCGAAGGCGGAGACTTTCACTTAGGACAATAGTACAACTATAAGGTAATAGGAGATGGCAGCCATTTTGATTAAGGGCAAAAGTTCACAAGATTTGTCAAATCAGCAGACTGAGAAGCTGTGAAGTATAAAATCATGATGGTCCTTGGGATAATATTGAGGGAGCTGGCAGCTTTGCACTTTCCCCCATTCTTAGTATCACCACCCCAAAGAAGACCACTCCCTGGTTTTTGACCAGAACGCCTGGTGAAAAGGGGACCCTGGCGGCTCTGGTCAGAAGTGCTGACCGAGCTGTTAAAAGTCCGGTCGGTGGCACAGCAGGGCTAAGGCAGACTCCCTGCCTGCTGTGGCTGCACGCGCGCTCAAGCAGCAGCATGACACCCCCTGCCCCCAGCTCCTAGGCTTACGGGCAGCCAGGTAGGCTCCGCATGCTGCCCTGGCCCCAAGCACCCCTCCGCAGCTCCCATTGGCCAGGAATTGTGGCCAATGGGAGCTGCAGGGGCAGTGCCTGCGGAGAGGGCAGCACATAGAGCTGCCTGGCTGCGTCTCCATGCTGGAGCCAGAGTGGGGACATGCTGTTGTTTCCGGGAGCTGCTTGAGGTAAGCGACACCCGGAGCCTGCACCTCCTCCCTCGCCCCAATTACCTGTCCCAGCCCTGATACTCCTCCTGCCTTCTGAACCCCTCAGCCCTAGCCTGGAGCCCCCTCCTGCACCCCAAACCCTTCATCCCAAGCCTCACCCAGAACCCCCATCCCCAGCCAGAACCCTCAGCCCTCCCGGGCCCCAACCCCCTGCCCCAGCCCTGATCTCCCTCCTGCTCTCAAAGCCCTCAGTCCCAGCCCAGAGCACTCTCCTACACCCCAAACCCCTCATCCCCAGCCCCACCCCTGAGTCTGCACCTACAGCCAGAGCCCTCACACCCCCCCGCATCCCAAGCCGTGCCCCAGCCCAGAGCCCCTCCCACACTCTGAACCCCCACAGCCCAGAGCCCCCTCCTGCACCCCAAATCCTTCATCCCCGACCCCACACTAGAGCCCTCACCCCCAGCCAGGGTCCTCACCCCCCTGCACTCCAACCCCCAGCCCGAGCCCAGTGAAAATGAGTGAGTTCGTGAGGGTAAGGAGAGCAAGCAACAGAGGGAGGGGGGATGGAGTGAGTGAGGGGCAGGGCCTCGGAGAAGGGGCGTGGCAAGGGTGTTCAGTTTTGTGTGAGCAGAAAGTTGGCAACCCTACAGGTGAGTCCTGAGAGAGTGGGGAGACAGCGACTGGCAGGGGGTGGAGCGGGGGCGATCGAGCAATGGGGTGGGAGGGTATAGTGTCTGGTTTTAAGAAATTGGAAAGTTGGCATCGCTACTTGTGAGTCACAACCTCTGTAATACCTCAGCAATGCCTTGACCTCCAGTTGTGCCATTGGCATAAGCCCTAATCTCTGTCACTCTGTTTTACCACTATTTCAAGCTCCAGCATTGCCTCTGCCCCAGACTTTATCTTTGCCATCTCTCTAGCTCAGGACTTTCCCAAACCACTACACTTCCAGTACTCTGGACTCCACCCTCACACAGATAGAATAAAGGGTGAGCAATGGTAGTGATGTAGGTCTGTCAAATCACTTCACTCTGTACCCATTCACCTTCCTAAATGCAATCTTCACCTGCATTTGGACTATGAACAGGGTCTGTTTTCTGACTTTCATCTTCAGAGAAACAGAGAGGAGAGGACTAAGGGTGTAGAAATGCAAGAAAAAGATAGTGGTGGAGAGAGGTTGGCACAAAGGAGAAAGAGAGAAAGAAAACACTTAATGCAAGAACAAATACAGCAGAAAGGGCTAAACTAAAAAAGAAAAACTTGAATAAAATGGAGGATTTTAGAGTAAATATATCAAATGAAACATTCCAATAGGATGAAAAATATATAGGACAATTCCCTGAGGGAAATGGGCATTGAAAGAAACAAGGAAAGATACTTGGAGGCAGGCATACAGGGAAAAGTGAAGATTAGGAAGCGGGAAGAAAAGGGGAATGTAGTGATTTATTTTTAAAAATTAGTTAGAGATCATAGCATACAAAATTTGAATCTACTGATTAAACGTAATTTGGAAGTTTTAGCAGCACCAAAAATCTGAAAAACGTTCCAAGTTTGAACAAAGAGATAATTAATTCTTCTCAAGACTCAAAACCCCTTTGAATATGGTAGATCACAATTCTTTTCCTTTTTTGAAAAGTTAACATACAGTATATGGTTGGCCTGCCACAGAGCTAAGGGCTGCTCAGAAACTCAGTCTTACCATCGCTATTAAAGTCATGAGACTTCAATTTGAAGCATCCCAGACTCGTGACCATAGTACCATTGAATGCACCCTCAGCAATTTTGTACCACAGCCAACAGAGAATTTACCATTACATTAGAGAAAATGTGTCTACAGCTACTAGACACTTTTAGAACTTTTAGAAGTTCGTCCAATGGATCATACGCCTCCCTTACAATGTTACGTAGCACAAGCACATTAGCTTAATCATGACATGCCAATACATCACAATATAAAACTCAAGATAGCATGAGGGAGGAAAAGACAAAATGATGTTCTATTACAATATCACCACATTGCACCACATTGAATCTGATTTAGAATCTGCCCCAAGGATTATGCCAGAAATTCTGAATGGTCTCCAGTGCTAATCAAAAAGCCTAAAGTAGCAGTGTGTTTATAGGTGGTTAGGTGACAGGTTGAGGGAACCTCCATCCCATTGCCTTCTTTAAAAGTCTTTGAAACAAGAGGAAGGAAATTCATCACAGAGACTATTTTTATTAAGTGTTGATTGATTTATTAAGCTCTAAACACTTGTCTCACTGTCCATGTTGCAGTAAGGAAACTGACACTTCATTTTGTATGCCTGCTAACAGGGAAATAACTTGTTCTTCTGTGTTCAAATGGGACAGCGCAGACCAGTCAGTATTATGTCCTACCTACACTTTTGTAAAGTTTTGACCGGGAGCAAAGATGAAGGAATCAACAGTGCAGGTACTGTTTTCATCCATCCTCCTAGTTGAGAGTAACGGCCCAGGCCGGGACACTCACATCCTGGAGATTAATACATGGCTGTACAGATGGTGTCAAAAGGAGGGGTTTGGCTTCCTTGACCAAGCAGCACTGTTCCATAAAGGAAGAAGAGATGACATCCACCTGACCTGGCAGGGGAAGAGCATCTTTGGACACTGACTCACCAAACTAGTGAGGAGGGAGGACTTTAAATTAGGTTCAAAGGGGGCAGGTGACAAAAACCCACAGGAAGGATTTAAAAAAGGTGACCTTGACAGAGTGCTGGAAGTTGGAGGGGAAATGGTAAAGTACAATTCATAGATTCATAGATAGTAAGGTCAGAAGGGACCATTATGATCATCTAGTTTGACCTCCTGCACAATGCAGGCACAGAATCTCACCCACCCACTTCTGCAATAAACCTCTGACCTATGTCTGAGCTATGGAAGTCCTCAAATCATGGTTGAAAGACTTCAAGGGTCAAAGGAGCAACAAGGAGGGGAATTTGCTTAACATCTTAAATGTCTAAACACAAATGCAAGGAGTAGAGGGAACAAAGAGGAAGAGCTGAAGGTCTTAGTACAAAACCTAAATTATTACTTAATTGACATCATTGAGACATGGTGAGATAAATCTCATATTGGTATAGAGCAGTGGTTTTCAACCTTTTTTTCATTTGTGAACCCCTAAAACATTTCAAATGGAGGTGTGGACCCCTTTAAAAATCTTAGACATAGTCTGCAGATCCCCAGGAGTCCACGAATCACAGGTTCAAAACCACTGTTCTATGGTAACGACACCCTTTTGTGGACCCCTTAGACATAGTATGTGAACTCCCAGGGGTCCACAGACCAAAGGTTGAAAAACTCTGGTATAGAGGGCTATAGTTTGTTCAGGAAGGACAGGCAGGGAAAAAAGGGAGAAGGTGTTGCATTATACATCAAGAATGTACTCACTTGTTCTGAGTTCCAGAAGAAGGTGAGAGACAGACCAGCTGAAAGTTTCTGAGTGAAGATAAGAGGAAAAATTCTAGGGTGACATCATGGTAGGGCTCTACAGTAGACCACCAAATCAGGAGGGGGAGGTGAACGAGGCACTTCTAGAACAAATAACAGAAATATCCAAAACACAAGACCTGTAGTAATGGGAGAGTTTGACTACTCAGACATCTGTTAGAAATGTAACTTGGCAAAACATAAAATATCCATTACGTCCTTGTAATGTATTGGGGACATCTTCTTGTTTCAGAAGATGGAGGAAGTAACCGGGCAACAGCCATTTTAGACTTGATTCTGACTAACAGGAAGGAATTGGTTAGGAATTTGAAGGTTGAAGGCAATTTGGGTGAAAGTGATCATGAAATGGTAGATTTTATGAGTCTAAGGAAAGGAAGGAGTGAGAGTAACAGAATAAGGACAATGGACTTCAAAAGAGCAGACTTTAACAAACTCAGAGAACTGGTAGGTAGGGTCCATGGAGAAGAATATCTAAGGGAAAGAGGAATTAAGGCGAGCTGACAGTTTTTCAAAGAGACAATATTAACAGCAAAATAGTAAACTATTCCAATGTGAATAGTAAGAGGCTAATATGACTTCATCAGAGATCTTTAATTACCTGAAAATCAGAAAGGAATCCGACAAAACTGTGGACATATGGACAGATTGGTAAGGATGACTACAAAAGAATACTGCAAGCATGTAGGGACAAAATCAGAAAGGCTAAGGCAAAAAATGAGTTACACCTAAAAAGGGACATAAGAGGCAATAAGAAGTTCTATAAATACATTTGGAGTAAGGGAAAGAAGAAAAGTGTAAGTAAACTGTCTAGTGGGGAAGTGGAGTAGATAACAGATGACAACAAGAAGGCTGAGGTATTTAAGACCATTTTGCATCAGTCTTCACAAAAATGGTTAATTGGGACCAGATGCTTAATACAATTAATATTAATAACAACGGGGAAGGAACACCGGCCAGAATAAGGAAAAAACAGGTAAAATAATATTTAGATA